TGTGTGTGTGTGTGTGTGTGTGTGTGTATATATATGTATGTATGTATGTATGTATGTGTGTGTATATATATATATATATATATATATATATATATATATATATATATATGTATATATATATGTATAAAGGGATGGAACGGTTTATGAAAACCGTCCGACCCGTTCGGTTCGACTGTCTCAGTTCGGTTCGCGTGTGTTGCGTTCTGTTCATGCGCTGCTCCTTTTTCTCATAGGCGAAGCGATTATACTCCAGAGCAGAAGGTGGCGGTACTGCGACCAAAGCCAACCACCAGTAGTAAACAAGAAGAAGAAGAAGAAGAAGCGAAGCAGCGTAGCCGGGTGTAGCAGAAAAAAATCAGTCGTTGTGGAGAATTGTGTGGGTATGGCGAGTGGGAAAGAACAGGAGTTGGAAGACACGCCAGCAGCACTTTATAGGTCTGCTGTATGGGACCGCTTTGCATTTAGAGTGACCTACGATGACGGCGGAAAGAAAGTTGTGGATAAAAGTGCAACAGTGTGCAAGCATTGTGCAACACGTTTGGTTTATGCTAACAGCAACACGACCAACATGTCAGGCTAACCCCGAAATCCCACATACTCCGTCAGCACTCCGCCCCGCTGCGCTCCAGACCGCCTGCACAAAGCAAAGCCTACAGCCTCCACTGTGGCTCCTGTCCGCTCCGCTCTGAGTTCCTTGGAGATCGTAGAGGGCATGCGCGAGATGATTAAATTCAAAGCAGCAAAACATGATCCATGGTTTCCGCGGATCATTAAAAATAATTGCAATTCATTAATTTTTTGGGATTTTTTTCATTAATTTCATTAATTTTTATGGGATTTCAGGGTAACAATCAACATATATCGAACCAAACAGAAAACCGTGACCACGAAACCGTGAACCGAACAGAACCGTGGATTTTGTGAACCGTTCCACCCCATATATATATATATATATATATATATATATAATATAACTATTTTCTCACCCCTCGTGGGGTGTTAGGTGTTATCCTCAAGCTCGAATCCCCTACCAGAGGCCTGGGAGTTTGAGGGTTCTGCGCAGTATCTTAGCTGTTCCCAGGACTGCACTCTTCTGGACAGAGACCTCTGATGTTTTACCTGGGATCTGCTGCAGCCACTCTCCCAGTTTGGGGGTCACAGCCCCCAGTGCTCCAATTACCACTGGCACCACTGCTGCTCTTACTTTCCACATCTTTTCTAGCTCCTCTTTCAGCCCTTGGTATTTCTCAAGCTTCTCGTGTTCTTTTTTCTTGATGTTGCTGTCGCTTGGGATTGCCACATCTATCACTACTGCCTTCTTCTGCCGTTTGTTGATCAACACGATGTCTGGTTGGTTAGCCATCACCTGTTTGTCAGTCTGGATCTTGAAGTCCCATAGGACCTTAGCTCGGTCATTCTCAACTACCTTAGGAGGTGTCTTCCATTTTGACCTTAGGACTTCCAGCCCATACTCATGGCAGATGTTCCTGTACACTATGACAGCTACCTGGTTATGGCGTTCCATGTGTGCAATTTCTGCCTGCATTTTATATCCTGCTATTATGTGCTGTATTGTTTCAGAGGCATCTTTGCACAGTCTGCACTGGGGGTCCTTCTTGGTGTGGTAGACCCCGGCTTCTATTGATCTTGTACTGAGGGCCTGTTCTTGTGCTGCCATGATTAGTGCCTCTGTGCTGTCCGTCAGTCCAGCCTTTTCCAGCCACTGGTAGGATTTTTAGATATCAGCCACTTCCTCTATTTGTCTGTGAAACACGGCATGCACCACTTTTTCCCTCCATGATGGTTCTCCTTCATCTTGTCCTCACTTTCGGTTTTCTCCTGCCTGAGGTATTCACCAAGTCATTTGTCTTTGGGGGCCATCTTCCTGATGTACTCCTGGATCTTAGTTGTTTCATCCTGGACAGTGGTCTTAACACTCACTAACCCTCGGCCTCCCTCGCTACGCTTGGTATACAGTCTCGGGGTGCTGGATTTGGGGTGAAACCTGCCATGCATTGTGAGGAGCTTTCTTGTCTTGACGTCAGTGGCCTCTATCTCCTCCTTTGGCCAGTTTATTATACCAGCGGGGTATCTGATGACTGGCAGGGCATATGTGTTGATGGCTTGGATCTTGTTTTTCCCATTCAGCTGTCTTTTCAGGACCTTTCCTTACTCTTTGTAGGTATTTAGCTGTGGCGGTCTTTCTTGCTATCTCCTCATGGTTTCCGTTAGCCTGTGGCACCCCAAGGTATTCGTAGCTGTCCTGAACATCTGTAATGTGGCCTTCTGGTAGTTCAACCCCCTTGGTTCTGATCATCTTCCCCCTCTTTGAGACCATGGACCGCACTTGTCCAGTCCGAATGACATTCCAATGTCGTTGCTGTAGATCCTGGTAGTGTGGAACAGTGAGTCGATGTCTCGCTCACTCCTGGCATACAGCTTGATGTCATCCATGTAGAGGAGGTGACTAGGGGTGGGTATTGCCAAAGAAGTCACGATTCGATTCGAATCACGATTCACAGGCCACGATGCGATTCTATCACTATGCATCACGATACTTGAATTATTGCGATGCATTGCCATATTTTCTCCTCCATGTTTTGTTTTTGAATGACTCGGCATAGTATCCCACGGCCGAAAATGCTTGTGACACAAGGCAGCGTGCGTCAACACATTTGCAGCAACATCTACTGGACTGGAAGTGGTATTGCACTTGTTTTTGGCTGATGTTCGCCAACCATTCATGCAATTTTATTTATTCATTTTTTAAAATTAATAATCGATTCTTGGCATCAAGAATCGATTCAGTAGATCACGAAAATTAGAATCACGATGCATCATCATCACGATTATTTTGCACACCCCTATGACTGATGATTGTTCCGCTTCGGAATTGGTATCTGTAGCCAGTCTTTGTGATGATCTGGCTGAGAGGGTTCAGGCCTATGTAGAACAGCAGTGGGGATAGTGCATCGCCCTGGTATAGGCCGCACTTTAATGGTGACTTGTGCAATTGGCTTTGTGTTGGCTTACAGACTGGTTTTCCACAGCTTCATTGAGTTCTTGATGAAGGCTATTAGAGTCCTGTTGATCTTGTACATTTCCAAGCATTCCAGTATCCATGTATGTGGCATTGAGTCATAGGCTTTCTTATAGTCAATCCAGGCAGTGCACAGATTTGTCTGCCGGGTCTTACAGTCTCGAGTGAGTGCCCTATCCACCAGTAGCTGGTGCTTGGCTCCTCTGGTGTTACTGCCCATTCCCTTCTGGGAAGGGTGCATGTATTGAGCCATGTGCCTACTCATCTTAGCCACTATGATGCCTGACAGGAGCTTCCATGTTGTACATAGGCAAGTTATTGGCCGGTAGTTGGATGGGATCGTTCCCTTCTGGGGATCCTTCATGATCAGAATTGTCCGTTCTTGGGTTAACCTTTCTGGATGAATCCCATCCATCAGCAGTTAGTTCATTTGTGCTACAAGGCCTGCATGAAGTGTGATTTGTTTTTTCAGCCAGTAGGTGTGGATCATGTCAGGGCCTGGTGCTGCCTGGTACCTGCCGCTCTTTCTTGGACGCCTGCCGTTGTAACGTTTACTGGTTCTTGTTCTGGGAGATTGCTGTGATCTGTTCTTAGATCTTCTAGCCACTGAGCATTGGTGTTGTGGGATGCCTCCTTCTCCCATATGTTCCTCCAGTACTGTTCAGTCTCAGCCCTGGGTGGATCTGATCTTGAATTACCTGCTACTGTGAGTACACTTTGGATGGGTTGTTGGAGAACATCTGGTTTATTCTCCTGGCTTCTGCTACTCCCTTGTATCTCTTTAGGCGGGTGGCCAGGGCATTAGTCTTTGTTTGGCAGTTTCTAGAGCCTCGACAGCTTGTTGTACTTAGGTAACCTCTTCCCTACACCTTTCTGCAGGTCTGAGAGTTGACTAACCTCTCTTCGTGTTGCCTTGATCTTGGCTTCCAGCCTTCTTCTCCATGGGGGCTCTGCTTTGTGGCCTGTGGTGTTTATCTTATGGCCAAGCATCTCTAGGATCACTGTAGCTGTGGCGTAGGTCAGCTCATTGGTCTCAGTTATGTCTTTAGTAGGGATAGTATGTAGTGCTGCATTTACATCTAGAAGACTTTCAGAGGGGACTCTCTCAGTTAGCCTTGGCAGTCTTGGTCGTCGTACTAGGGGTCGAGTTTGGTTATGATCTGCAGTCGTAGGTCAGCCGCCCTTACGTTTAGTGGGCTTGTTGTTGTTGTTATTAGGGCTTGGGACCCAATCTCTGAGTGTTGGGATGATGATGATATCTTCCTATTGACCTGTTGTCCTGACTCCCCCTTCCCGCAGCATGTCAGTTGTACCTCATCAATTTCTAGTTGTGATAGGAGCTGCCGTTTGCGGATGTTAGAACACTGAGTTAGGAGTTGTTTCTTTGTCAGTGTCGATGATGGATTTTGAAGCATCCACATATCCCATAATCTCTGCATGTAACCTTTCTCACTGGGGTTGCTTGTATAGTAGCATTTCATCCGTTCCAAGTTTTCTGCTCTAGTCCATGTATGTCGTGTTCCAGTAGCCTATTTGTCATCAAGTTGCCCAGGTTCTCTAGAAACTGACGCGGACCTTGTTAACCCGGGCGACGTCCGAGCCGGTATTTCTCTTGTGTGTGTGTGTGTGTATATATATATATATATCTCGCAATGTTAGAGAATCTTTTTTTAAAATCTGTGTCCAGATTTTAATCGAGATCATCACCAAAACTTAATGGATTGTTCCTTGTCATGAGGGACACCTCTGATAAAAGATTCATTAAAATCTGTCCATTTTGTAGTATTTCTGTACACAGACACACAAACTCTGTTAAAAACATAACCTCCTCGCCAGAGGTTCAACAATGAGCCTATTATAAACCTTGTTAAACAGGACAGAACTGTTATAAACAGTAAGTTTAGAAGTTTAACAGATTTTTGTCCTGGTCCTTGAACGCAGCACTGTCATTCTGTTTCAGATCATGAAGTGCGTGTGGATGTGTGCGTTGTTCCTGTTCACTCTCATCCATGGCGGTTGGACCATCGGTGATCAGCGCTGGTCTAATGAACCCCACCACAGGCTTGACCCCGAGGTCGACATGAACATTGTGAGAACGCTACAGGTTTCCTACCTTCAGGTGGTCTGTGTTCTGCAGGAAGTCGTAGACAAAATCTCCAGGTGGTTCTGGTCCAAAGCAGGAAGCAGATTCCTGAGTTTTAATGAAATCATAGCAGAAACTGATGGAAGATATTTAGTTGAAATACAAAATCCCCAATCTGTTTTTAACAAAAATAAAATCATCTTTTCTGATGGAGTATTTAAATCAATATTTTTCTTTTTTTTAATAAAACTAGCTAACCTACTTTAAAAGTATCAACACAGTTATTTAAATTACATTTACACCTTGGGTGACCTTCGGGAAGGAAGGGTCCTGTGAAATCAGGGTCACCAAACACTTCATCACTCATGATGTCTGTGGGCAGCAAGACAAATCTTATGTATGACCTACCAGGAGGGGGGGCACTGAGTTGGGATAATTCCTGCAGGTTTTTGAGTTGTTGTCCGTCTGCCACTCAGACACAGATCATTCGGCGGTGGGGTTACCCTGCAGAGGAGCATGAGGTCGTGACAGAGGATGGCTACATCCTGACAGTCAACAGGATCCCTCATGGACTCAGACACTCTGCAGGTGGTTTTCTAATTCTATTCCAGTTTTTTGTAGTTGTTTTTTCTTACACCAGTACGCTGATAAAGATTAGGGAGATCGAACACCCGTGGCTCAAACCGGTTCTTTATGTCCATCCTGCAGGTCCGAGGTCAGCTGTCTTCCTGCAGCACGGACTACTGGCTGCTGGCAGTAACTGGATCACCAACCCTCCCGACTCCAGTTTGGGCTATGTGTTGGCAGATGCCGGCTACGATGTATGGATCGGGAACAGCAGAGGGAACACCTGGTCCAGGAAACATAAGACTCTGAATCCAGACTCTGAGGACTACTGGAGGTTCAGGTGAGAACTGAGACACACTGTTGTTTAAACATGTGTTTGATGAAAAAATTTAAACATTATTAATCAGTCCTCAGAGCATCCAGTTATTCAGAATGAAGGAAAATTCTGAGCTAAGCTAACTACACTTTCTACTGGATCATACTGGAGCATCTTTGGTCAGGTTTTGGATCAGTTCACACGGTCCTGCATCAAATTTGGTCTGATGATTCTGGATCAACACCTTTGTTTAAAGATGTTCAAGCTCCGCTTGTTTTTCAGTTTAGTCCTGTTTCTTTGACTGTGAAAAACTGCATGTGCTCTCTTTCATCCTCTGACACCTTTTGTATGTCGGCTTCAGCAGATGGCCGCTTACACTGAGCCTGGTTCTGCTGGAGGTTTCTTCCTATTAAAAGGGAGTTTTTCCTCTCCACTGTCGTTACAAGCATGCTTAGTGTGAGGGATCACCTTTGAGTCAATGAGTAGATGCAATCATCTGGTTTTCCTTAACTTTGAACCAATCTGCAGTGTGATCTGGTGGAATTGTCTCTGTAAATTGCCTTAATGTGACATGTTTGGAACTGGTGCTATAAAAATAAACTGCGTTAAATGAATTGAGGTTACTCTAGAAAACAGAATTCTGAAAAGATTATTTAAAAACGTGTTTTCGCGTTTTATGTCTTTACAAAAAAGAATCAAATGTTTAAACTTTTTTGATACTGGATTTTGGAATTTTCTTTGTTAATTTCACACTTCACTTAGAGGTGCTAACAGGCTTAGCCGCAGTAGGCTACTTCCTTGTCTACCCCCTGAACACATGCACAGTATCTTACCTTCTTTGTTATTGTAAATATACCCATAAGGCTTTTTTGCTAACAAATTGAACATAAACACATAAACTAGTACTACGCCAGCAGAACGGGATCATTTTTCTAAAATTATTTTTTTGTGTAATTAGCGTGAGCTACTACTGTATGAAATAAAAAATGACCATTTTAAGATCAGGTAAGTCTGGGATTCTGGGATTTGGATCACATGGCAACAGAACACATTGTTCTAGAAAATATATAGAATAATACCTATATTTTGTGCTTAAAAATGTCATTCTGACACATATAGTTCTGGAACAGTCTGAATGTGACCGCCCTCTGTGTTCCTGCAGCTATGATGAAATGGCTCTGAAGGATCTCCCTGCCGTTATCAACCATGTTCTGAAGGTGACGGGACAGGAAAAGATCTTTTACATCGGACACTCCCAAGGAACCACCATTGGTACCAGTCCTGCTCCGCCTTTCTGTCTGCTACACACTGACTTCCTGTAAAGGCTAATGTCCGTCCTATTTCCCAGCATTCATAGCGTTCTCCAAGCTGCCTGAGCTGGCAAGTAAGATTCGGCTATTCTTGGGATTGGCTCCTGTAGCGACCGTGGCGTTCACCGGCAGTCCTATGACCAAACTCTCTGTCCTGCCAGATTTTCTGATCTGGGTAAGAATCATGGTGCCATCAAAACAGAGCATTCAGATCACCGGTAGCAGCAGCCAGTTTCTTTATAACGTGGAAAATCTGAGGCGTTGCTTGTTAAAAAGACCAAGAACACGAGTTAACAGGCAGTTATTTGTATTTTTAGTCAGTTATCCATAATTCTGATTTCCTCTTGTACTACTGATGAACCTGCTTTTCTTTGTGTTCATCGTCTCCCTGCAGGACCTGTTTGGAAAGCGGGACTTCCTGCCACAGAGCCAATACATCAAATGGTTGGCTGAACATGTGTGTGCAAAGAAGTTACTGAGCGAGCTGTGTGGAAACCTCTTCTTCGTCCTCTGCGGCTTTGATGAGAAAAACCTTAACATGGTCCGTACCTCTGACCCTGGTTCCTAAAGAAGATCAGAGCTCAGTCATGTCCTCCTGCTACCAACAGAGTTTCATTTGAAGACCTTTAGTTTTTTGTCCGTCAGAAAACAGAAGCTCTGTCAATTTGGCTGGTTTTATTTGTGTAACTGATCAGTTTGTGGTTGAAGTTCAGGTTTTTGTACTGAGGAGGATTTCCTGATGTGTTTCAGACTCGGACTCCAGTCTACACCACTCACTGCCCTGCTGGGACGTCTGTCCAAAACATGGTCCATTGGGCGCAGGTACCTGTTCCTCTCATTGTGTAGCTTTAAGCTATTAGATGGATGAGCAGCAGTAATCAATACGGCTGGGTATTTTCGCCAAAGTCCTGAATTGATTCGATTTTGATTCATACAGTTCTAAATCGATTAATTTGGATTCTATCTGTTTTTACAATAGTGAAAGTGGTTCAACTGTGTTTCAAAATACTCATGTATTTTGTTTTTTCCTGTCACATTAAACTCGGACAGTTTAAACATGAGATGTGAACAAAACTGTCTAAAAAGTGCAAACTTGTTTGTGAAAAGTGAAAAAGTGAAGCCTCACATTAGCAAGCAGATGTGACACAGCAGACATGCATGAGCTGCATTATCTTCAATGCACAAACCATACTTGCAGCGTTCTCTGTAACAACTACAGGGTGTTTGCTGGTCAGCCCCCATTTGTTAATGTCTTCAGTCAACCTATTGGCTATATTTGCAGCTGTCTGAAACAATCTTGAGTGCATCTTTCCTGTTTATTTGAATGTGAATGTCACGTGGGTCACTATAAAATGAATCGATCTCATTCCCTAGACATTGATTTTGCAAAAATGTAAAGGAATCTATTCAAAATCGATTAAATCGATTTTTTTACCCAGCCCTAGTAATGAACTCGGTTGCTCGCAGTTTATATGATTGATGTTTCTCTGATGGCATCTCTGAACCCAGAGCTGATGGAAAGTTCTTCCTGCTGTTTACAGGCTGTTCATAAAGGGAGACTGATGGCCTTTGACTTTGGACCAGAAGGAAACATGAGGCACTACAACCAGGTGAGTTTGAAACAGGCTCTAGTAAGACTGGGAAACATCTGAGTTCAGCTGGATCCAGGTCATAGTTCATTCTTGAGACCGTCAATTTCCTCCTGGGCTCTCATGGCCTCTTTGCACTAGTAAATGGTAAATGGCATGTACTTATATAGCGCCTTTTTTCAAGTCAGGTAACTTGACCAAAGCGCTTTACACTACATTCCTTCAACCATTCACGCACACACTCACACACTGATGGTGGCAAGCTACATTGTAGACACAGCTGCCCTGGGGCTCACTGACAGAAGCGGGGTTGCCGTACACTGGCGCCACCGGGCCCTCTGACCACCATCAGTAGACAATGCAGGTGAAGTGTCTTGCCCAAGGACACAACGACAATGAAAGTCGGAGCCAGGGCTTGAACCGCCAATCCTTCGATTTCAGGGCAAACTCCTACATCGCCACTACAACGCCACTGTCGCTACTCAGCCTGGCTCTGCTCTACTCGCGTTAGCGTTTCATAATGGTTTTGTTCTCTAGTTGCTCTAGTTAAATCTGAACTGCCATTTCTGAGGAGAACCCAGAACAGAGAAGGACCGTTTTCTGGTCCTGACTGAAGATAAAAGCATTGAATGAAACAATGTTTGAACATTTTTCTGCTTGGATGCGGATGTTAGAGGAATCTTCAGGTATTTATGGAGTTGTCTGAAAGGATGTCTGGCACACGGTTCCTTCCTGCCTGCTTCTATGCTTATTTTTCATTTATTCTACTAATTTAGATACATTGAACTTAATAATCGTTTCTTGAACTCTAGCCAGAGTAGAAAAAGAAGTGGGAGGCCGCGTTGCACAACTGAGCAAGAAGAGAAGTACATCAGAGTCTCTAGTTTGAGAAACAGACGCCTCACAGGTCCCCAACTGGCATCTTCATTAAATAGTACCCGCACCGCAGTTTGTGCTGTCCTCTGAAGGGAGTAGTACAAACCGTTGTAGGAAATCTTCAATTTCTTAGCAATTTCTCACATGGAATAGCCTTCTATCCTAAGAACAAGAATAGACTGTAGAGTTTCAGATGAAAGTTCTCTTTTTCTGGCCATTTTAGCGTTTAATTGACCCCACAAATGTGATGCTCCAGAAACTCAATCTGCTCAAAGGAAGGTCAGTTTTGCAGCTTCTGTAACAAGCTAAAAACAAGCTAAACTGTTTTCAGATGTGTGAACATGATTGCACAAGGGCTTTCTAATCATCAATTAGCCTTCTGAACCAATGAGCAAACACATTGTACCATTAGAACACTGGAGTTATAGTTGCTGGAAATGGGCCTCTATACACCAATGTAGATATTGCACCAAAAACCAGACATTTGGAACTAGAATAGTCATTTACCATATTAACAATGTATAGAGTGTATTTCTCTAAAGTTAAGACTAGTTTAAAGTTATCTTCTTCTAGAAGATGTAAATGCAGCGCTACGTACTATCCCTACTAAAGACATAACTGAGACCAATGAGCTGATCTACGCCACAGCTACAGTGATCCTAGAGATGCTTGGCTATAAGATAAACACCACAGGCCACAAAGCAGAGCACTAACCCCCATGGAGGAGAAGGCTGGAAGCCAAGATCAAGACAACACGAAGAGAGGTTAGCAAGCTCTCAGACCTGCAGAAAGGTGTAGGGAAGAGGTTACCTAAGTACAACAAGCTGTCAATTCCTGAGGCTCTTGAAACTGCCAAACAAAGACTAATGCCCTGGTCACCCACCTGAAGAGATACAAGGGAGAAGCAGAAGCCAGGAGAATAAACCAGATGTTCTCCACCAACCCATCCAAAGTGTACTCACAGTAGCAGGGTAATTCAAGATCAGATCCACCCAGGGCTGAGACTGAACAGTACTGGAGGAACATATGGGAGAAGGAGGCATCCCACAACACCAATGCTCAGTGGCTAGAAGATCTAAGAACAGATCACAGCAATCTCCCAGAACAAGAACCAGTAACCGTTACAACAGCAGATGTCCAAGAAGAGCGGCAGGTTTGAAGAGCTGGACAGCACCAGGCCCTGACATGATCCACACCTACTGGCTGAAAAAACTAACCGCACTTCATGCACGCCTTGCAGCACAAATGAACCAACTGCTGATGGATGGGATTCATCCAGAATGGTTAACCCAAGGATGGACAATCCTGGTCATGAAGGATCCCCAGAAGGGAACAACCCCATCCAACTACCGGCCAATAACTTGCCTCTGTACAACATGGAAGCTCCTGTCAGGCATCATAGTGGCTAAGATGAGTAGGTACATGGCTCAATACATGCACCCTTCCCAGAAGGGAATAGGCAGTAACACCAGAGGAGCCAAGCACCAGCTACTAGTGGATAGAGCAGTCACTCAAGACTGTATGACCCGGCAGACAAATCTGTGCACTGCCTGGATTGACTAAAAAAGCCTATGACTCAATGCCACATACATGGATACTGGAATGCTTGGAAATGTACAAGATCAACAGGACTCTATTAGCCTTCATCAAGAACTCAATGAAGCTGTGGAAAACAAGTCTGGAAGCCAATGCAAAGCCAATTGCACAAGTCACCATCAAGTGCGGCATATACCAAGGCGATGCACTATCCCCACTGCTGTTCTGCATAGGCCTGAACCCTCTCAGCCAGATCATCACAAAGACTGGCTATGGATACCAATTCTGAAGCGGAACAATCATCAGTCACCTCCTCTACATGGATGACATCAAGCTGTATGCCAGGTGTGATCACTGATCCACACTACCAGGATCTACAGCAACGACATTTGAATGTCATTCGGACTGGACAAGTGCGGTTGTATGGTCTCAAAGAGAGGGAAGATGATCAGAACCGAGAGGGCCACATTACAGATGTTCAGGACAGCTACGAATACCTTGGGGAGCCACAGGCTAACGGAAACCACGAGGAGATAGCAAGAAAGACTGCCACAGCTAAATACCTACAAAGAGTAAGGCAGGTCCCGAAAAGTCAGCTGAATGGAAAAAACAAGATCCAAGCATTCAACACATATGCCCTGCCAGTCATCAGATACCCCGCTGGTATAATAAACTGGCCAAAGGAGGAGATAGAGGCCACTGACGTCAAGACAAGAAAGCTCCTCACAATGCATGGCAGGTTTCACCCCAAATCCAGCACCCCGAGACTGTATACCAAGCGTAGCGAGGGAGGCCGAGGGCTAGTGAGTGTTAAGACCACTGTCCAGGATGAAACAACTAAGATCCAGGAGTACATCAGGAAGATGGCCCCCAAAGACAAATGACTTTGCGAATACCTCAGGCAGGAGAAAACCGAAAGTGAGGACAAGATGAAGGAGAACCATCATGGAGGGACAAGCCGCTGCACGGCGTGTACCACAGACAAATAGAAGAAGTGGCTGATATCTAAAAATCCTACCAGTGGCTGGAAAAGGCTGGACTGAAGGACAGCACAGAGGCACTAATCATGGCAGCACAAGAACAGGCACTCAGTACAAGATCAATAGAGGCCGGGGTCTACCACACCAGGCAGGACCCCCGATGCAGACTGTGCAAAGATGCCTCTGAAACAATACAGCACATAACAGCAGGGTGTAAAATGCAGGCAGGAATTGCACACATGGAACGCCACAACCAGGTAGCTGTCATAGTGTACAGGAACATCTGCCATGAGTATGGGCTGGAAGTCCCAAGGTCAAAATGGAAGACACCTCCTAAGGTAGTTGAGAATGACCGAGCTAAGATCCTATGGGACTTCAAGATCCAGACTGACAAACAGGTGATGGCTAACCAACCAGACATCGCGTTGATCGACAAACAGCAGAAGAAGGCAGTAGTGATAGATGTGGCAATCCCAAGCGACAGCAACATCAAGAAAAAAGAACACGAGAAGCTTGAGAAATACCAAGGGCTGAAAGAGGAGCTAGAAAAGATGTGGAAAGTAAGAGCAGCAGTGGTGCCAGTGGTAATTGGAGCACCGGGGGCTGTGACCCCCTAACTGGGAGAGTGGCTGCAGCAGATCCCAGGTAAAACATCAGAGGTCTCTGTCCAGAAGAGCGCAGTCCTGGGAACAGCTAAGATACTGCGCAGAACCCTCAAACTCCCAGGCCTCTGGTAGAGGACCCCAGCTTGAGGATGACACATACCACCCCACGAGGGGTGAGAAAACAGTTTTTTTTTTTATATATATATGTGTGTGTATATATAAGTCATGGGTACTTGTTGATGGCATTAAGATTATTTCTAAGAGCATTAAAAGAGAATTAAAAAGCATTAAATAAGAGTTACTCATTCATGTATAAACCCTGATGCCACTGAGCACGTCAGAACATACAGGTGCTGGTCATAAAATTAGAATATCATGAAAAAGTAGATTGATTTCAGTAATTCCATTTAAAAAGTGAAACTTGTATATTATATTCATACATTACATACAAACTCATATATTTCAGATGTTTATTTTGTTTAATTTTGATGATTACAAATGACAACAAATGAAAATCTCAAATTCATCATATCAGAAAATTAGAATATTGTGAAAAGGTTCAAAATTGATGGCCCCTGGTGCCACACTCTAATCAGCTAATTAACTCAAACCACCTGCAAAAGCCTTTAAATGGTCTTTCAGTCTAGTTCTATAGGCTACACAATCATGGGGAAGACTGCTGACTTGACAGTTGTCCAAAAGACGACCATCGACACCTTGCACAAGGAGGGCAAGACACAAAAGGTCATCGCTAAAGAGGCTGGCTGTTCACAGAGCTCAGTGTCCAAGCACATTAATAGAGAGGCGAAGGGAAGGAAAAGATGTGGTCGAAAAAAGTGTACAAGCAAGAGAGATAACCGCACCCTGGAGAGGATTGTGAAACAAAACCCATTCAAAAATGTGGGGGAGATTCACAAAGAGTGGACTGCAGCTGGAGTGAGTGCTTCAAGAACCACCACACACAGACGTATGAAAGACATGGGTTTCTGCTGTCGCATTCCTTGTGTCAAGCCACTCTTGAACCACAGACAGCGTCAGAAGCGTCTTGCCTGGGCTAAAGAGAAACAGGACTGGACTGCTGGTGAGTGGTCCAAAGTCATGTTCTCTGATGAAAGTAAATTTTGCATTTCCTTTGGAAATCAAGGTCCCAGAGTCTGGAGGAAAAGAAGAGAGGCACTTCATCCACGTTGCTTGAAGTCCAGTGTAAAGTTTCCACAGTCAGTGATGGTTTGGGGTGCCATGTCATCTGCTGGTGTTGGTCCATTGTGTTTTCTGAGGTCCAGGGTCAACGCAGCCACATACCAGGAAGTTTTAGAGCACTTCATGCTTCCTGCAGCTGACCAACTTTTTGGAGATGCAGATTTCATTTTCCAACAGGACTTGGCACCTGCACACAGTGCCAAAGCTACCAGTACCTGGTTGAAGGACCATGGTATCCCTGTTCTTAATTGGCCAGCAAACTCTCCTGACCTTAACCCCATAGAAAATCTATGGGGTATTGTGAAGAAGAAGATGCAATACACCAGACCCAACAATTCAGAAGAGCTAAAATTCACTATTAGAGCAACCTGGGCTATCATAACACCTGAGCAGTGCCACAGACTGATCGACTCCATGCCACGCCGCATTGCTGCAGTAATACAGGCCAAAGGAGGCCCAACTAAATACTGAGTGCTGTACATGCTCATACTTTTCATGTTCATACTTTTCAGTTGGCCAACATTTCTATAAATCCTTTGTTTTTATTGGTCTTCAGTAATATTCTAATTTTCTGATATGATGAATTTGAGATTTTCATTTGTTGTCATTTGTAATCATCAAAATTAAACAAAATAAACATCTGAAATATATGAGTCTGTATGTAATGTATGAATATAATATACAAGTTTCACTTTTTAAATGGAATTACTGAAATCAATCTACTTTTTCATGATATTCTAATTTTATGACCAGCACCTGTAGAAACGTCAGTTATTAATATAGTCCAGGTGTGGAGCTGCTGCTACCTGATTATTCTATCAATCGATTAATCTACAAAAAACTTTTATAATTTAAAATTATAAAAGTTTTTTTTAATTTAAGATTTTTAACCTTTTTCTTTTTGTTCATTACATTCTTGATTTACAGAATTATTTTACAGAATTTGAACCAGATGAAGGTCAGAAATGCTCCTTGAGGAAGACTGAACAGAGTTTATTTACAGACAAAGACATTTTCTCATCCTAATTTCAAAGTCATTCTTTTGTGCAGTTTTGGCTAAATTACTGCTCTCAGGTGGTTAGTCTTGCAGCAAATTGCCTAATTTATTATTTAAAAAACAAAATTGGTTTACTTTCAATTCAATAATCAAACGCGACTAACCGGATTGTTTAATCCCTAAGTGGCACCAGTGTCTAACCTAATCCAGGTTAAATCAGTCAATCTGAGCTCAATCTATTATCTGTTGAAGTTAATGTTTGAAGTATGACGACAGATGATTGTACTTCCTTTATTCTCTAATTTTGTCTCTTTCCACATGTTTCCTCTTCAGTCAACTCCCCCAGAGTTTCGTGTCCAAGACATGAAGGTTCCTACTGCCCTATTTTCTGGGGGACATGATACTTTGGCGGACCCGAAAGACATGGCTGTTCTTCTCACTCAGGTTGGTCCTATGTGAAGTCTTCAGCTGGACCTTCAGAATAACAGACAGAAGTTCCTCCTCACTGTAAACATCTCTGGTGTCTGTCTACCTTAATTGGTTGAAAGGCTGTTTCCTTCTTCAGGCTGTCCTCTGGTTTTGAACGATCTTCTTGTGTTGGTTCCTTATCGGCAGAGATGATGAAAAAATTCTGTCTCCCATCAGGTCTCCAACCTGGTCTACCATCAACATATTGAGCACTGGGAACATCTGGATTTCATCTGGGGGATGGATGCTCCTCAGGTTATGTTTCCATCCATTCTGAAGCTGCTGCAGCAACATCAGTAGAGACACAGAGATCATTCCTCTAGATGACCAGCAGAAGACAAGATGCCTGAGCTGAAGGTCCAGCAGCCAGGTTTTATCAGGACCCTTTGTTTTTATGTTTTTATAAGGAAGTTTAAGGTGATTGCGAATTTAGAGAGAAAAAATGGTCTCAGTTTGAGTTCAAATATGCTTTAACCCCTTTTTTAAAGACCCTCAAGGCTCCAGAACCACAAAAAAGAGAAGCAGAATTAACTTTTATGGCCCAGAACCATCAGAAGCTCTGCACAGGTTTTTATTAAACGTTCATCTGAACTGTTTTATATTCAACCCACAGAAGTTTCATTAAAGACAGACGCTCCTGTTGAGGGCAGAACCTGCAAAAGAACAGTGAGCGTTCGGTTTTCATTAAAGATGTTTCCTAGATGCTGCGGTTTGGATATTCTGTTTAAACATCCATCTTTATACCACTGAGAACTGCAACCTGCTCTGAAATAGGAAGAATCACAATGTTCATAAGCTGTGAATTAAAGCTGCTCACTTTCAAATCCAGATCTTTGTTTTTATTTGGACCAGAACCAGAATTCAGTTGCAATTGGTTCAGTTTCTTTTTCTTTGCAGTTTATTGAAAGGACAAAGATGGGGTTGTTTCTTTGACCCTTGAGTGGAATCACTATTTCAGAGACTTCCTCCTTTAAAGTGAAACCTTCAGCATAAATAGGAACAGGTCGAGCTGAAACTGCAGATCTGAGAAATTCCAAAGCTAAAAATAATTAGACGACGTGAGGAAAACGTTGGAGAACGCCCACAGAGGTATAAAACAGGCACTGCTTCCTCAAACTGAGAACAGATGTGAACTCGAGATACTGGCAGTGATCAGGTTCAAAAGATGTTTCATTCTATACAGTATGTTCAATCATACATTGTAAATATCATTTAAACAGGGAGGTGTAATGTACTGAAAGAACAGTATTACGGTATAAATTTAATTTCCACAGCTAGGCTTCAGGAAATATTTCCACCCATCACAGAACAACACTTTGGCTTTATTATACTGCAAAAAAAACAACATTGAAATATCAGTAATGGATTTAATTTCACATGTGCAGACCGATTAAATGCTAATCAATCTTAGCATTTATAAATGTAACCTTAAAGACCAACAAAGAGAAACGTAACAAATTACCAGCTATGTATAGAAATAATCTAAGTAACGTTGGATACAAGCAAGGTTGACTTAGGTTAACATCTATAAACAGATAAAGAAACTGATGTGAAATCGTTATTTCAACAATTGTAAACAGATGAAGTTTAACATTATAGTAATATTGCTTATAATAAAGACTTCAAAGATGTTACTACAAAAGCATGAGCCTAGCCTAACAGCTATGTATAAAAAATAATATAACTGATTGTAGACAGTAGGAGCAAATGTACATTTAATATATTAATACACCCCCTTTATAGAAATACACCTTGGATCTGTTATTTGTATTGATGATTTTTAGGAATGCATGATGAAAGTTTCTCTTTACAAACAACAAAAAGTAAAATATACATATTTTACATCACTCTATTACACTGTTTATATCTAAAACTTTTACAACAGTGTACATGTTGAGAAACGAAGTATGGCATCATAAATTAACTAACTTCTATAGTTCAATTTATGGTTTAAATTTGAGGCTGTGTTTTGACGGAGCATTTTCTTAGAGGATAACCAACTATTAACGGTAAGGTGAATGAGTGGATAAATACGTACTGAAGCCTCCGAGAGAACCAGCTTACCACCAAAATGGTCAGCCAAACCTTTCAACACAGTCAATTAAAGGAAAAGTCTGGTCATATATTAATATTTGAACTTACGAAAGTACTTTAAATATGAAAGAATTACAAACTGTTCAATAAATGATCAGTGTTTTTAATTAAGAGTAATTTTAATCTGAATGTGCTTTACTGGAGGCATCCATGTTTGTCAAAGAACACTACTGCCACCTACTGGTTTGTGACGTCACGGTGCGGTATCGGCTGTTGATCAAGTCCCAGTGCTGTATCTGGTGTTTGTCACAACGCGCTATTATCCAAGTCATCTTGAAAACATTCTTCTTCCAAATGTTGGCTACATATTACGTGTCTTTTCTTTGGCCAGAAGTTCCCTCATCAAGTTGGCAATCCAACGACAAACCCGTGGTGGATCATGAATCGGAAAGGGGAGATTTTTTATTCACTTTTACGCGATGTATTCTAGCATCCAGCTGCCATGCACATGGGCATTGTCAGTTTCACTATAGCTCTGGTGAATTTCAATGGTGAAGTCCTCTGGAAATCTTCAATAATTGTTGTTGATTGCAGATGTGTCTAGTAGTTCCCATTGATTTAGCTTGTAAAGCGGGGAGAATGGCGCTAGGCTTACCGCACCGTGACGTCACTGCCGGAAGATGACAGGAGTGAGGTGTTACTATATCTTGGTAAAAATGGCCACTCCTGGAATCAGTCTTTGTGTTGAAAATAATTTTTTTAATGTTTTTGACTGATTAACGCTAAATTAATTAAATCACAGCGAACGTATTAGTTTTAGGTATAGATAATGATCCTTTGATTATTCATAGTGACTTGACTTTTCCTTTAATGGTACTGGTTTTGTAACTTCTAAAAATTCACTAGTCTAGCTCAGCAAAGAAATAAATACCCTAATTTAACAAGCAAATCATTATCCTCCTTTAGCACATTACAATTAGCCTAGCTAACCTAACAAGTTTAACACAAAAACTTCAACAGATTCACATGGAAACGGCTAGCTAGGCTAATCACAGAAAGCATTACCATAGTTAGCACAGAAGTCGTTAGCCAAACTGAGATGGTGTAAAGTTAGATTTCTTATAAAAAGTTAATCACAGTTTTTGCCACCAGTTTCACCCATTTCACTCAATCTTAAACCAGAGCGGGCCACAAAGCAAACATCAGTCACATATTCAAGTCTGGAAAAGAGGGCTGCATTTAGAGGAGCCTTAACATTAGGACCAGCTTCATTACTAATGCTGCGTTCACACTGGGGGCAGCAAAATCAGCAAAATCGCGTCTGCTGCTTCATTTTTGCTGCTTGTACCAGTGAATTCTGACGCGCGTCTGAAGCAGCTTTGCTGCTCTCGCTGCGCGGTCCAAAAGTGTGTCTGACGCTCGTTGGGCGGAGCTTCACTATCCTTTCTCTGCCTTGCAGCTATATTTGCTGTGATCAGTGGGAATAAAGTAGTTTTAATATGTTTTTAAGTGAGAAAATCCACCTGAAAACTTCATCAGTGGAGTCAGTTCATCCAGATTACAATCCTGCCTCCCAATATTATTTCTGTCGGAGCCGCTCAGACCCCCACATACCAGCGGTGCGCCGACAGAAGGAATCCATTCATCAGCAGCCTCTGGCCGGGTCGCCTCCTCGCGGTTTACCGCTGTGGCTGGTAGGTGTTTTTCATCTAAATAATCCGATCTGCAGGCACCAGAATAATAAAAGCGAACATATTCTGCCGGCAGATGTATATATTTTAAGTTAATTATGCTTTAATAAACTGTTTAAGAGAAGTGATCAGAGCAGTCTGTGTCATCAGCGCTGTGTCTCTCTCCCAGCCAGCTCCCAGATCAGCTTCTCTGATTGGTTGACGCGGCGCGTCGAGCAGCAAAAATTCAATTTTTCCATCTCGAGCAGCAGCGCGTTTGCGGCGCGTCGCGCGCGTCAGATGCCAAAACGCGCCCGACGCGCTGCTTCGGCTGCTCGAAACGCGCCGCGGGACATTTTGCTGCGCCTTGACGCGCGTCAACCATTGACTTTGCATGTAAACTCGCTGCTTCTGTCGCGCCAGCTGCCCCCGGTGTGAACGCAGCATTAGTTAGCCTTCGAAGGATGCAGCCCCTGATTTTAAACACAGCTAATTAACCTAAACTTAGCACAGAAACCATTTACCTAGCTTAGCAAAGAAATATTTAGCCCAGTTTAACACACCACATGTTAGCCTTTATTAGCACACCAAGCACCAGAGTCGCGTAGCACAGTAACCATCACCCTGTTTTAGCTCAAAGTCTGAGATTAGTGTCTTTTCTTCAGCAGAAGTTTGACATCTGTTTGGTCTCCATCAGTTTTCCTTCCTTAGCATGTTAACAATCTTAGTGAACTGCAGCCTGATGGCGATGTCCAGTGGAGTTTCTCCATCCTGAAAAACAGCAGGTCATCAGATTAACTCTATAAATTCTGTAACAGTGTTTATTATCCATCTAATAAACAATTATGAGTTCAGATAAGAAAGGAAAGGCTTTCTATTCCACCTGTTAACAGATTCCTATAGGACCTGGGGTAATCTTTTAACCCTCTCCAGGCCAATGTTGCAGATTTGCAAAAGCTAAATGCCACTTAGCTAATTACTCCACATCCATATTTCAAGAGCTTTTGTTACTCAGAAGTACAACAGAAGGACTTAGTTGTGCATTTGCAACAGACAGTTTCTCTCCAGCTCACCAGATAGCACTGCTGACTCACTTTCAACATGGCTGAGTCCTTGGTGTCACTGAAACAGATTTTCTAAGCACCAATTTCATGTGAGCATCACTACCAATTTCCATTATTTTGACATCAATACTACATAGGATTAACCATGACACATGCCAATTAGTAGATTTTATCTCCTCTGGGTTTTTCACTAGAGGCATCTCGATTTCAATGTTGTGGATTCGCAACGTGTGCCGAAACAGGTACCAATTAATGCTACATGCTTTATCTAGTAGTTTGCCTATATTTTGAGCAACATTTTAACAGAAACGGCCTTCTCAAGAAGTTTTGAGATGTCGGTGGAGAGAAAGTTTGAGAAAAAGTTGTCCCTAATTTTGTGAGAGAATTTTTTTTTTTCGAGTTTTGTTTTAATTTTTTGTTTGTGACATTCAAATAAAGTTAACGTTCATATCAGATTCAGTCTTCAGTGTTAGTTTACCATTCCAGGCCACTGTTGCAAATGTGCAACATCCCAGAATTCATTGCATGTGAAGTTCTCTCTCAAAAAAAAGTCTGAATTGTATATAACTACCCCATATGATCATTTTCTCCAAATATCAGATTTTTCCTGCAACTACAACTTAATCTGAGCCTGAGAGGGTTAACAGTTGGACCTAGATCAAAATGTAAAGATTTATATCGTTGATATCAGATTGTGATCATGTCATAAATTCACAAGTCACAATAAGTCTTTATAGACAACTTTCACAGTCATCTATAAACTATACTGTACTCTAAAGCTTGGAAGTCAACTTTAATTCTTTCATTTGAATTGAGAAAGCTTCCTGGATGGAAAGCGAAACGTCTTCAAACTTGGAAACAAAGTCCAGTGGATTGTTTTTTAAAACGTTTTTGGAACAGTGGGGGCCGCCATTTTGATTGGTTTCTGCTATAAAGACTTCTTGTAGCGTCTTGCAGGGAGCGCATGGGGGAATTTGGAGAGGAGATATAGATGCAACTCTGTATTAAATAGAGTCATAAAAGAGTAATTTCCTCTAATGTTCACCAGGTTGCCCTGTTTGTGAATCAGCACACAGACTGTGTCTCTGTTTAAGTAGCCAGGTTGTTCATGACATTCCTGTTTACCAGAATGGACTCAACAGATTACAAAACTGTTATTTTTGCTGTAACATTATTCCATTTCATCTTGTTTTTCTCCCAGCTCGATTTTTTAGAAGGCTGAGAAACTGATAAACCATCATCTTTTATAAGACATAAATGAGAATGTGGGCATTTTAGAGGCGACTTTATCTAATATAAAGTAAAACTGACCTATTCAGCTGGATATGATTGGCAATAAAAGCTGAGTGGCAAATGAAAACAGGAAATGCCCTTAAAACTTGTCTATAGTGAAGACTGGAAGTCGAGTAAGGGGAGGTAGTGATGAGGGCATAGAGCCTGGAATCCTTAGGTTGTGAGTTCAAAGCCCACTCCCACAGACTGCCACTCTGGGTCTCTAAGCAAGGCGCTTAATCCCTGATTGCTCACCAGGCACCCCACAATGGCAGCCCACTGCTACCCAAGGGGATGGGTTAAATGCAGAGGTACATTTCCCCAATGTGAGATTAATAAAGTTCAATTATTACTATTAAAAAGTTAGGGTGAGGTCACAAGTCATTAGTACACAGGAAAACCATCAGGTAAACATCCATCTCTGGTTTATATCCATTCATTCCTGCTTTTCATGCTGTCAAACAGTCAGAGCGGGCTAATTAGTCCCTGTTAGAAACCTCAAACACTGGTCTAGCTGAATAGAAACTTTAATTCTATCCTGAAATGATTTACCCCTTACACTTTCCCAATTGTCTACAAACCCCAGTCAGTCATGGTAGATTCTGTTCCTACCAAGCTAGGCTATGTTCCTCCTATCAAAGAGGAATTCAGTGACTCAGTGTCACTTTAAACTCGTCCAGTATTGACTGTTGGCAGGCAGTGACTTGATGCAACCTCTTCTGAGAAAACTTTTAAACTGTTCATATGAACTGAGCTTTACTCTGTTTGATAACTAGGATGACACTGCCAGGCGTGTAACTCTCTGTAATCTCCAAACTGTGTTTCTTTTTTGATTGAATTGATGCAACAAAAACAAACTCCAAAATTGAATTCCAATCCTAAACCATCTGATTTATCAGAACCAGCCTAGAGTTCATCCTGCCACAGTGTTCAGGAATGACAACATGTCTACTTATGATGCGTTCGTGGACCCACTTTATTCCTGACGTCCGTTTTGGCATTCCGCTTCAACAGCAGAGGAACTAGTCGGTGGCTTTTCCTCTGACAGACGTAATGCAGCGCCGTGTTGCCTTTCTGCAGCAGACACAAACACAGATGTCAGGGCTTAATCAGAGATAGTCTGGATCTGAATATTTACCGTCTCTGCTCCTATTTGGAGCTTCACTCACATAGTCAATGGCGTCAATATTGACATTGCTGCTCAGCACGGCCTCCATCAGCTCCACACTCTTCCTCTGCTTCTGCAGCTGGAACATGAACACAAACATCTCCAATCAAAGCTCATAGCTACAAAGTTTTTATCAAAATCACTATTTTTTTCTAAGATCCACAGAATGTCTAGAAAGGTGCACAATAAAGGTGTTCATTTTATTGGAAATAAAAGGAATTAAAATTGTTACGTCTCACAGAAGCATAATAAACCCCTGATCCTTTAAGCTTTTATTAACCTTCTATTCAGAGTAAAGTCTTTCAGTTTTCCTAAGCACATTTAGCTGAGACTGAGAGAGAACAGTTCTGACTGAATGATGAACCTAAAGGACAAAAGCTCTTCAGTCTGTGTTGATCCTCTTTCCAAAGTCCCTAAAAGAGCATACTTTAAATCAGCTGCTGTTCTTTAACCCTAAGGAAACCTGTCATATAAACACTGCAATGGTGGACAGTAGCGCTGGACGATTTCACCAAATGTCAATCTTTTTCAAAACAAAATTGTGATTTTGTTTAGATTTTCCTTGTATTCACTACATGCATGTCGATGCGTCCTTTCAGTTATTGTTTTTATAACTTTGAAAGTTTGATCTATTGTGCAGGGTTTGGAATTTCGAAAAAACTAAAATAAAAATACACAGAAATAACTTTTTCTTGCTAGTGAAAAAAAAAAGTGTATACATTTTTAAATTAACTTATAAAATCAATACTTGCAGAAGTTAATCTAGATTTGTTACCGTACGTTGACCGGATCTCTGAATTGCTCAGCAGACAGAAAATAACTATTTTTTAAAATTCCGTTCAAACAAAAAGTTCTACTTTGACCTAAATGTCTCTCTGGTGTTTTTTAATTTTTTTATTTGGTAAAGGTACACGTGGTTAGAAGAGTAGCCTGACATTTTAGTCAGCTAATTCAGCTACTTTATAGTTATTTTTTTAACATAAAGGTTAGTTTTAAGTTTTAAATTGTGTTAAAGGTTCAATAATTGTGTTAAATCGTTCAATTTGGTCTATAGGCAATTTCCTGATTCACACATTTTACCTGAACTGACTGTTTTCTTTTTTCTGTCTTAATGTTGGCAGTGGGCTTTATGCTGCCCTGTAGGGCTTTAAAGCTGGGTTTGAATGGAGACTAAGCCATTCTAAAGCACATATCAAGGAGCTCATTTTGAGCCTGGATCCATATTTATTTTTGATTCTGTTCATGGTGGAGAATCCTGCTTCACAGCAGCAGGTTGAGCCAAACATCCTCTAAATGTGCAGGGTCATCTTTGAGCACCATTTCACTTTTCTTTCACTAGTTCACCACAGTTCTTCCAGCAGTCCACACTTTCTCTGCTCTCTTTTTCTCATCATCTTCTCCTTCTTTCCCATCGCCTGGCTTGCCACAGGTTTGCCTGCTGTGTCTAAAAGTAGCAGCAGCAGCAACCCAGACTGACAGCAGCTCATTGCTAATTTGGATCATGTGCAGCCTGGTGGCGCTCCAGAGGGGTTTACCATATTAACAGGAACGGTGGCGCAAATGAAGTTAGACACCGTCGTCGGACAGCATGTAGTAATTGATAAATTTCTTTAATCCAGTTTCCGGATTAGCCTGGAGGTGGATCTGGAACCGGTCCGCAGTCCTTTAATCCTATTGGTTTAGAGCAGTGCTCTTGTGCTTTGAGAAGGCTGAAAGCACCCGGTTCAATCCCCACAGTCTGCGGAACCCCCCACTGCTCCCAGGGCGCTGCGCAATGGCAGCCCCCTGCTCCCCAAGGGGAAGGGTTAAATGTAGAGAAAGAGATTCCTCATTGTGGGACAATAAAGGGATTTACATTACATTAAGTTACATTATCTCTGACAAGTTTGGGTTTAAATCTGAACAAACCATAGAAATATATATTTTTGTTTTAGATAAACATTTTAAATTTGTTCAACAGACACAGTTTCTACAATTTCTGTTTAATTGTTGCCTGAAAAGCCTTTGGTCATGTAAATGATTTAAGTTATTTTATAATAGGTGATTGTGGAGCACCTAAAAGCAAAGCAGAAGAGTGAAACTGAAAATGGAACATACTGATGGAATGAGGATGCTGAGATAAACCAGTTCAGCTCAGTTATTTACTCCTGTTTGTTTCCTGTTTTCACTGTATGTACTGATGTATGTGGAGATTAGATTCTATAGATACCATCATCCCATCAGCTCAGTTTAAGTCTAGAACGAGGAACCGTTGGAGTTTTAGTCTTTTTATAAATTTGTCCGTTTTTTTTTTATCCTTGTTTTTATTCATCTGCTAATTTCCTGATTATTTTTGTTTATATGGACCTACTCGCTTCTTTAATAAAGAGATAATAAATGGCAACTGCAGTATACTTACACAAATAAAGCAAATTTCTTTTCAATGGATCAGGTAATTAGATGTAACCCACCTCTGCTATTGATGCATTATTTATCAATAGCATCAGAATATTAAAAGCTAACTTTATAGCTTCTTATATAAAATAACAGTGGGATTCCAGGTCTAACCTCAGCATTATTTGAAGATGGTGGTATATAAATGCACACCTCCTATATGCAGAATACATCAAGACTTAAATAACACTGTGGCTGATAACGTTTATATTTAAAGGTATTATAATAGGGAAATCAACTTTTCCCAGCCTTTAACTACATTTTAATACCATTTCTCATCTAAATCATACCCCAACTTGTACTTTCATTAGTTCATGTGTTCTTTAGTTCTTGTTCCCAGGAAGCACCAAGCATGCCCAGTAAATGAAACGCACATGGTGATCTGATGCAGAGCGTAATCATTTCTGCTCAATGGTTGCACAAAGTGGCCACTTAAGCAGCTAATCTGCACAGTGACAGCAACTGCTTGATTCTCTTTTAGCTTTTGTCTAAGGTGCGGTCTGTGATTTTGTTCAACCTTCCTAAAGAAGAGCCTACTGAACCTAAGTAAAGTGATACCATGCTGCAGCAGCTCTAAGGCGACGCCATGAAACTGGCAAACACCATCACAGAGAAGATAAACATCTTTGTTTCTGGGTTGGAAAAATAATGAATAAATAATGAATAAATACTCTGTTCTGCTAAGGAAAATACTTCAACATATATACCTATGCTTACGTTTTTACTTTGACAGGCTTAAAAATAGCAGGATGGTACATTTGAACAATTGTAGTCATACATAAATTTAACCAAATAATAAATTATCTATTTTAAATTAATGAATTAAATTCAATAATTATTAATATTATATTGATTACAATATAAAAATCAATGGACGGCCCTGAAATGGAGCCACATTCCACAATCCGTCTCTGGTAAATAAACTGTAGAATTTAGCATAAAAGTAAGGAGCAGGGGCGCCATATTGGGGGGAAAAATTTAAGATGATTTTAATAGCCCTTTACTGATGGTGGGCCCAAAGAAGAAAAGATTTATCCCACAGTAAAATAAATAATCTTAAAGTTCTCCCTCATTTTTCAGCAGTAAACAGTCAAACAAAGCATGAATATATTGACAAAAAAAAAAACTGGTAAAAACTTCTGCAGCTGACAAATGCAAGGAGAAAGCGTCCAATATCGTGAACCAGTTTTTCCACCTCTATTTTTCCAGAAAGGTTTGTTACCTGAATAGTTCAAATTAAAGGCAGATTATTAACCTGTTGAGTAAAGTAAGATAGTTGTATCTGCTGGATACATCTACTTAGTTCTTCTTCCTCAGTGTGGGAGGAGAATCACATCATTAATGATGCCGCCCAGCTGGGTGCCGTCTGAAATGGGGCATGATAGCAAGTTTTTTTATTATTTTGTTGCGTTTTGTTTTTAGTTTTCAAGAAAAAAATAAACCAGGATTAATCCAGCAGTTAATGAGCCTAATGTGTGTCTGTTAATAACACAGAGGCCAAACAACTAAGGTCAGAAATCTCACAGAGATGAGAATTTACCTTTATCACGAGACTAGGTAACAGAAAAACACCACAGTTATCAGAGGGTTAGCATCAGCTAAACACTAGTAGATTATTAGCAGGATATTTACATTAAATAACTGTCTTTGTCCCTCCTTCATCATGTAATCAGATGATTCGTCAGCAGCATGGATTAAAATCTGTGTCAATATTAAAACGACTTAGTTAGATCTATCAATGTCTTCCATGGGGCACCAGATTCCTGGCGGTGCACCTGGTAAGGAGTTCTCAATAAATTTATATTCAAAGCTTATCTAATACCTCTTGAGTTTTATTTGCTTTAAAAAAATAAAATTTCATGTTCGCTATCCTGAACATAAAGGATTTTGGCTGTAATTGTGAAGAGTAAAACCAACAGTGCGTTTAGCAGGGCAGGTTCAGGTTTTACCAGGAGGAAGTATCCCAGCAGCAGGATAGGCATCAGGATGGAAATCATCAGGTAGTCTAGAAGAGACAAAGTCCTCTTAGACACGTAGTGAAGACACGTCCTCTGTTTCTGAGGGACACAGTTAGAGTTAGAGCAGTGGAAAAACCTCAATCATGCTGAGATCATTGTGAGGCAGTACCTTGTTGGTCAGCTGGGTATTGGCCTTATTGTTCAGCAGATACTTCGCCACATTCAGGTTACCATTACGACAAGCAGCAATGAGCGGCGTGTCCCCAGTGTGTTGGTCCTGAACGTCTATCAGGGTCGGGTTCCCCTTCAGGATCCCATAGAGCTGTTGGAGGTCTCCGCCATAGGCCGCCTGACAGGCCGGCTGGAGGAGTTGGAGGTAAGAGAGAAAGAAATTCAGTATGATGTGAAGCCGACATTCCTTTGAAGAGAGTTTATAAAAACCTAACACTGAGGAAAAGAAGTAATTGAACACCCAGATATTTTGAAAGTTCTCCCACTTAGAAATCATAGAGGGGTCGGAAATTGTCATCGTAGGTGTATGTCCACTGTGAGAGACTTAATCTAAAAGAATATCCAGAACTCCCAATATATGATTTTTTGATAATTTCTGTGATACTGGTGCGAATAAGTATTTGAAAACCTGTCTATCAGCTACAATTCTGACCCTGAAAGACCTGTTAGTCTGCCTTCTAAATTTCCACCTCCACTCCCATTTATTATCCTAAATTAGATACACCTGTTTGAGGTCGTTAACTGCATGAAGTCACATGTCCACCCCATACAACCAGTAAGAATCCAAACACTAACATGGCCAAGACCAAAGAGCTCTCTAAAGACACTAAAATCAAAATTGTCGAACTCCCCAAGTCTAGAAAGGGCTACGGGGAAATTGCCAAGCAGCTTGGTGGGTCCACTGTTGGAGCAATCAGAAAATGGAAGAAGCTAAACATGACTGTCAGTCTCTCTTGGACTGGAGCTTCATGCAAGATCTCACCTGGTGGCGTCTCAATGATCCTAAGAAAGATGAGAAATCAGCCCAGAACTACAGGGGAGGAGCTGGTCAATGACCTGGAAAGAGCAAGGACCACCGTTTCCATGGTTACTGTTGGTAATACACTAAGACCTCATGGTTTGAAATCCTGCATGAGACAGAAGGTTCTGCTGCTTAAACCGCCACATGTCAAGGTTTTGCAATGCAGTTTGCTAATGACCATTTGGACGATCCAGAGGAGTCATGACCGAAAATCATGAGGTCAGATGAGACCAAAATAGAACTTTTTGGTTATAATTCCACTAACTGTGTTTGAAGGAAGAAAAATGATGAGTATCATCCCAAGAACAGCATCCCTACTGTAAAGCATGGGGGTGGTAGCATCATGCTTTGGGGGTGTTTTTTTCCACATGGGACAGGACGACTGCACTGTATTAAGAATAAGATGACCGGGGCCATGTATTGCAAGATTTTAGGGAAAAACCTCCTTCCCTCAGGTAGAGCATTGAAGGTGGGTTGAGGCTGAGTCTTCCAGCATCACAATGATCCAAAGCACACAGCCAGGATAACCAAGGAGCGGCTCTGGAAGAAGCATATCAAGGTTCTGGACTGGCCTAGCCAGTCTCTAAACCTAAACCCAATAGAGAATCTTTGGAGGGAGGGAGCTCTAACTCAGTGTTTCTCAGTGACAGCCCAGAAACCTGACTGACGTAGAGAAGATCTGTGAGGAGGAATGGGCCAAAATCCCTCCTGCAGTGTGTGCAAACCTGGTGTAAAACTACAGGAAACTTTTAACCTTCGTAATTGCAAACAAAGGCTACTGATTGACATAGATTTTCTTAGGTGTTCAAATACTTATTTGCATTTTTTTTTTAAGATTGTGCCTCTCACTGTGGACATGGACCTGTGATAACATTTCAGACCCATCCATGATTTCTAAGTGGAAGAAGTTGCACAATAGCAGGGTGTTCAAATACGTATTTTCCTCACTGTATAGTCTAAATATAATCTGCAGCTGACGGACAGCTGATCTGACCAATTAGGGAGATTTTTATTACATTTATACAGCGTAATGACAAATTTATAGGTAACCTGTAATGGAGCAGAATCTTACTATTCAACGTCTGTTAACTCAAGTCAGATTAAATGTGTAAACATCAAATCAGACAACAAGTTAAGAGTCAACACTGGATCAAACCGGGTCATTCAGTCTTAGATATGGATCTAATCATGACAAAGGGATCAAGTCTGGCTCAATAAAGAAAACAGTCAACTTCTATTATCTGGACTTCTGGACTGTATGATCTGGTTGAACTGTAAAGTGCCTTGAGATGACATGTGTTGTGAATTTGGCGCTATATAAATAAACTGAATTGAATTGAATTGGACTTCATTTAGTCTACATTGCCGTTATGTAGTTGGAAATGGTTTAATCCATGATGGTAAATGGTCTCCTCTCACATCCGCTGTGTCATCATTACATTTTATTCTTTACACAAATATGTTTAAAAGCAGAAATGGTAAAACATTGATACCAAAGGCTTTATGATTCAGTCAGTGATGGTGGCTCAGAGGCTGGGAGTTGGGTTTACAGCACCTCCACTCCATCTGTCTCTGCTTCTGTTTGGAGAATGACTGATAGTCGTGGGAGGAGGAGGGACAGAGGGATGGAGGGCAGCTTAAGACATGAAGGTATCGATTGGTTCTTTCCCTTCAGACCGAATGGCGAGGACTGGTCAGGGTTTTTACAGGCCTTTAGCTCTTTATGTATAAATGATGTATTGATTATGATCAGGATGGAGGTAAAGTTTCAAACAAAAGCAGGGCCAAACACCTGGAGCTCTAACTGCAGGTTTCTGCAGACAAATCCTGCAACAAAATGACTTGCCCTCTTTAATCAGCTGCCTGAGGACTACGAATGGAAACTAGCAATATCTCACTCTGGTACAAGACATCTATTCTTTTAAATGTATTTTGTACGCCGTCACTGTTAAAACAACAAACTAACTAGACTTAGACTCAACTTTCTTTATCCCTTGGAATTACTCCTTCAGGGAAATTCTGGTTCCAGTAGCTTATATAGATTACAAAGAGTTAAAACAAGATGCCAAAACAGATAAAAATAAGACATACAATAAAAAAAAGAGTGTACATTGTACAAAAATATAAAAATATCTGCACAGTGGAGAGTTAATGGAAGAATACATAGTAGCTGACTTGGATTAATACACCTGCACTGCAGAAATGTAACTAGAACTAATAAAATAACTAATGGAAAAATCCCAACAAGTAAAATGAAAACTGCACCAGACTGTCTTGTACAGACACGAGGTAGAAGGGTGTGAGAAATTGAGCCAGATTCCTCTGGTTGATGTACTGTTTGGGGAAAAATGGCCACCCTGATAAATACATCTTAAGACAATAACTAAACCTTGTTCATCTCAGGCCCCACAGAAGAGAGCAACTTAGAAGTCTAGTATCTTCTATAATAAAGGCAGAAGAAATGATGACAGAAGTCAACCTAAAAGCTCCTTCTGAATGTAAATAGAAAATCCCATTGACCTCACCACCTTCTGGATATTTTATGCAACAGCAGAACATGCAATACCACCAAATAGATTAAACAGAGAATGAAGCTGAACTGCAGCTGGAACTGGAACAGCTCAGTGTTCTATTGACTCTAGTTCTTCCTTTTTCCTAATGCAGTCTGGTGGGTGAATATAAAGAAAGGGGAGTAAAAACCTAAAACTTTTAACATTTAAAAACACTTAATTTATACACTTCAATCAATATAATCTATAATATGATCTTGTTATATTGTAAATCTCCATCATCTGAAACAGTACATACAATCTTTGTTAAAACTGCACAACAGAATAAAATCCTCCATATTCTGTGTGGCTCTGTGGAAGTAAATCAGGATTACTAAAGCTTGGTATTCCTCTTTAGATCATAGGAAACATTTTAACTGCATATTTGTGTTTTCATATTCATTTTGTCGTTATTTTTTGCGGATCTTGTAGGTTTATATTTAAGATGGATGGATGGATGGATGGATGGATGTTGCAGTATCTATAACAACCCAAACACACAGGATTTCAGAATTAGACATCCCCAGTTATTAATTTCATAAACTCACCAGATCTGAACGCCCTGTTAAAAAACTTCCCACCCATGAGTAGAGGTAATGCAGCCTGATGATATTTACACCACATCAGATACCTACACCCCATGTTAAGCAGGGGGAACGCTCTCTGATGGGGTTTATAGGCCCGTCAGATAGCGTACCCCCCATATTGAGAAGAGGGAACGCTAGCTGGTCGGGCTTTATAGGCCCGTCAGATAGCGTTCCCCCCTGATGTCATTTACGTTGAGTTGCAATAAATGCTAAACTCTCTGCAGGTTCTTGTCTTTGTCGTCCGCTCTATTCAGCTGGCTTTGGAAACACATGGCGAGAAGGTGGGGGCTGGGTGGTGAGGGTTACGGGGGCGAGAAACGAAAAAGTAACGCAGTAGTTACTTTTACTACTAGCTATTTACTTTTATTGTGGAGTAACTCAGTTACTCAGTTCCTTTTTGAGAGAAGTAACTAGTAACTATAACTAATTACTTTTTCAAAGTAACGTGCCCAACACTGGTCACAAATGAAGGAATCCGTGCCATTTCCTTACCAAGTACTACAGAGGGAATCACTTCTCTGTGTCCAGTACGGTAGCTAGAAAAATGGTCAGCTAATTAAAGCTAACGTTAGCTGTTAGTTCAAGCTAACCTGCCTGAACACCTAAGTGGTAACTCAGCCATTTGATTCAGGTGACTGGAAGCAAGGAGGCATCTTAAAGGTGCAGGACACCCGACCTCAAGGTCGGGAACTGAAGACCCCTCTAGAGGAACAGAGCTTCTCAATGGTGCAACATAAGAATTAGAGGTAGCACCAGTGCAATTAGCTGTTCAGGGAAGAGGGAAGTGAAATCTGCACTTTTAGTGTCACGTAGCCCTAATAACCCCAAACTGTACTTTATTTTCCTATGTTTTTTTTAAAGCATGTGTTTGCCAGATTCCTAGGGAGGGACTAAATTTAATCAATAAATATAGCACGAAATACATCAATTTAAATTTATTGTGAAATAAATAAATATACCATTAAATACTAAGATGTAAAATGAAATAAATAAATGCACCATTTATTTATAGTACATCTTTTAATAATTATATGTACCCTTAGATAAAGAATCAAACATAGTAAAAACTAAAATGTGAGTAAAACTAATAATAGTTTTTGTCCTGAAGATGAAAATTAAGACTAAATCTAAGATGGCTGTCAAAAACAACACCGTTCTGCAGAGTAGACTTAAAGGGGAACGGCATTTTTGTTTTTTTTACATTGGGCCCTTGATTTTACGTTAGTACATCATGTTCTACTCACCCATATGAGTTTAGTGTCATTTGGAGCCGTTCTGAAGATATTCCGTTAGGTTATATCCAAGTAACGTCTTCCTATGGGCAACGATTTGAAGGCACAAACTAAACTGTTCATCATTTATTCTTTATGGTACGCCAGCATTCATAACATGTAGGCCAATCACTGTGCCCCAGACATCAGCGGTTATATTTTTTATATTTACACTAACGCTCAAAAGTTTGGGGTCACCAGAACAATTCTGTGTTTTCCTGAAAAGTCACACTTATTCACCACCATACGTTGTGAAATGAATAGAAAATAGAGTCGAGACATTGACAAGGTTAGAAATAATGATTTGTATTTGAAATAAGATTTTTTTTTTACATCAAACTTTGCTTTCGTCAAAGAATTCTCCATTTGCAGCAATTCCAGCATTGCAGGCCTTTGGCATTCTAGCTGTTAATTTGTTGAGGTAATCTGGAAAAATTGCACCACGCTTCCAGAAGCATCTCCCACAAGTTGGATTGGTTGGATGGGCACTTCTAGCGTTCCATACGGTCAAGCTGCTCCCACAACAGCTCAATGGGGTTCAGATCAGGTGACTGCGCTGGCCACTCCATTACAGATAGAATACCAGCTGACTGCTTCTATTTATTCTAGCTAACCTGAGTCAATCAATTCCATCTGGAGAGAGAGATCATCTGTGGTAGCAGCACTAGACATCTTCCAGGCATGTGAGGAAAACTAGCAGCAGTAGAATAGATGGTAGCCAGAGCGCACGGATGATGTCATACACGCGCTGCTTCGGTTTTAAAAGAACGGCTCCAAATGACACAACACTCATACAGGTGATTAGAACATGATGTAATAACGTAAAATCAAGAGGCCAATGTGAAAAAAACAAACAACTGGTGTTCCGCTTTAAGCCAGAAGTCCTGAGAGGTTTGGATGGTTGATTGAATCACAACCAATCTGTCATGTATTCTGGATCGAAGCCAATCTGTGATCTATAGGTCACAGAAATATTCTAAAGTTATCTGCAGTTATCTGTTCCACGTTTTAGGCAAACCTGTGAAGACACCACTACAGGGATCCATTCTACTGAAGGTAAAACATGTGGATTTGTTCTTCAAAGTCCTGCTGAGACATTAGTGCTTTTATCCTCGGGACCTTTCTGTAGATGATAGAAGAGCTTTGTTCCAGTCTTTAGGAGCCTCTGAAGGTTCAGGTCTGAGTCCATCACTACATTCAGATTTAGATCCTGATTGGTGGTTTGTAGCTGTATTAGCTATTTCCTAACTTTGTCTTCCTTTGGTCCTAAAAACTTGGATTTACCCCATGCTTTAATGGGTTCATAGTCACCTATAGTGACTATTGTTAACTAATGTTTGTGTTTATTAAAATCTGAGCTATTAAATAAAAGGGGCCCTAAGATAGACCCTTGGGGAACACCATACATGATGTGTTCTGAGATGTCAAAAAAGTCCCTTCAAGTACGATTTAAACCAGTCCAGTGCTGAGCCAGACAGGCTGAGCCAGTTTTCCAAAGACTCTAATAAAACTGAGAGCTCAATAGTGTCCAATGCTGCACTATGGTCCAGTAATACCAGCACCGTGGTTCATTAATAGTCTGTATCTATATGGGAGTCATTAAATGCCTTGACAAGGGCAGTCTCTGCACTACAGAGCGCACCAAAGCCTAACTGGAAGATGTCAAAAGGACTGGTCAATGTTAGGAAGGTCTTTAACACTCTACAACACTTCTCTCTTTTCATTGGACACATATCAAATTAAACTCCTTAGGGTTTGCATTTTGTGGAGTAAATTTTGAGTCAGGTGTAGATTTTAAAGCAGGTACATGAAATAAACAAAGTCAGAAAACACACAAGTGGATTGTCAGAGTTTGGTACGTGATAGGGCTGCAACTAACAATTATTTTGGAAATTGATTAATTCGTTGATTATTTTCAGATTAATCGATTAATAATCGGATAACCAAAGGTTCCTTAAAGGAGATTTTTTAAGAAATTAAACCAGGTTAAACTAGAACTTTTCAACTTCAAGAGTTCTGGATAGAGAATATTGACAGATGAAAACATTTTTTATCTTAAATGCAAAATGTTAATATATTCTTTTACATTTTTGATATAAAATAATTTTGATATTGTATAATTATTAATATAATAGAATCCTATATGATATACTGTGATGGACAGGCAACCTGTCCAGAATGCCTCTCACCCGTAGACAAGTGGAGATAGGCACCAGCACCCCTCGCGACCCTACTTGGGATTAAGCATGTAAGAAAATGGATGGATGATATGATATAAAATAATTCCCGATTCTTTGGGGGTTTGGCAGATCTAGTGTCTCTTTCTTTCTCTCGCTGCTCCTGAAAATCCTGAGGATCCTGTTTCGGATTCTGTTTGTAACTTCATCACAATTTAATTCAAATTCAGTTCTAATTTGATTTCCATAACGCGTGTTGTAATGATGAGGAGAAGACAGTGCAGGTAAACGTAGGTCATCACTCTCCCCTGTTTTTCCCCTTATGAAAAAAGAAAAAAAAGGAAAAATAAAAACTTTGATCAACTTCCCAGATCTCTCTGAGAATCACCTGTCTGCCTCAGTCAGCATAAAAACCTGTTTTCCTTTTCTTTAGATGTAGATCTCATTATGTTTTTTTTCTCCATCTGGTCTGGTTTGAGATGCTGCACAGAGTTGATTAGTGGGGCTTTGCTTCTTAGCTGTGTGTTTTATTTATACATTCATTATTAATAACCTTTCATGATCCAAGTCAAATGGAGGGAAATCTGACCATGGTGGGGAAGATGACATGTTATGCATGAGTTTAAACATATTCAATTTTCAGAAATAAATTTGTTTTATTCTCACTGTCATTTTAACTGTAGTATTTTATTTTTATGATGTTCTTACTTACAAAATCGTTTAAAACTACAAAGAACTGCTAAACAGTCATCTAAATGTTCACAAGATGAATTGTATTCAGTAAAATCTGAACTACTCCATTAACAGCGATGGGGCCCCAGCAGCTGCAGAACTGGACCCGATCAGAACTTTAACAAACATCCCAAACACCAACATGGGAAGGATGAGCGCTCGCGTGCAAAGTAAAACTCCATCATTGTTTTCAGAGTCAAACTGAAACTATCTCTAACTGATGATGTGGAGGGATGAGTAAGTGAATTACTTCTTTCTTAGAGGAGGGCCCACACCAGGGGCCAAAACGCTCTGAATACAACATGTCATGTTTTTTCTCTTACCGCTATGTTTCTGCAGAAATGACAGGAACGTTAAACCTGCGCTTCTGACTTAATGTGGAAATATTTCTGACAGTACAGAGTTTACATCCTAGAGCAGGCTTTGCTGTTTCAGGGAAGATCTATTTCTGTTCCAAGAAAACACACGAGGAACCAAGACAGCCCAGGTGAGCGCGTGGCGCCTAGACTGACGTGTTCAGGTCCGGTCCGGGTAAAGAGGAGAGAAAAACGGATTTCTAGAAAGTTCTGAACAAAAAGTCAAAGTTTCAGCTTACCTCAGAGTACACCAGCCCCATGACAGCAGAAACACACCTGGCCAATGCATCCACGCCCCGACACGTAAGCGCCAGCAAGTCCGGTGTCTGCCTTTCAAAATAAAACTCCGAGAGGCGAAACGTCTTCCTGAAAACTTCACGTCCAGTTGCCTAAACTGAACCTTTCAACCTTTGCCATGACCTGGATGGCTGAAAATATTCACAGATATGTTCCGATTCAACGTTTTAACTAGAAACTACAAAAAGATTCAGGCACAGCGTGGGTCAGTACAGAAATTTATAAGACTACAGTTTCAGGCATAATTCAGGTGACGACCTTTATTTTGTAGGTGGGTTTGTCCTACTTCCTGCCGCTTATATCTGCTGGAGGCTAAATATGCAGGTAAGGACAGGAAACCAGGTGAGATTGGAAACATAATGAGGAGGGGTGAAAGGAATGAATGAAGAAACAGGAAACATTAGAAACGATCATTATTACATAGATAGATAGATAGATAGATAGATAGATAGATAGATAGATAGATAGATAGATAGATAGATAGATAGATAGATAGATAGATAGATAGATAGATAGATAGATAGATAGATAGATAGATAGATAGATAGATAGATAGATAGATAGATAGATAGATAGATAAATTGATTTGTCAGGGGCGGATTTTCAGAAACTTGGGGCCCTAGGCAAAGACAGACAGGGGGCCCTTTGAATTGAGAAGACAACACATAAAACAGCCCTATTATACTGGTACAGAAATTCTAATAGAATAGACATCCATTATTTGTTCTAGGGTTTGTCCCTCTCTTCTTGTTCCTTTTCTTATAATAATAATAATAATGAATTTTATTTAAAACGCACTTTACATTTCACTTCAAATCTCAAAGTGCTACATTTAAAAAAGGGAAAATTAAAACAAGTTTAAAAGACCATAACATTAAAAACAGAGTAAAAAAGACAATCATTAAAATCAATACATTGAAAGGCATACATATTTTTCTTCTCGTTTTCCTTTTCATGCTGCCTCAAAAGGAATTAAAGATTTCGACACACTAAATATTATAAGCGTTATGGAAATAAAAAAAATAATAATAATTTGCACCAATAAGGAATAGTTGAATTAACCATACCTGTAAAAAGAGTTTTATGGGCCCCTCAGGAACTTGGGGCCCTAAGCAACTGCCTAGTATTGCATAATGGTAAATTCCTCCCTGAGTGTTGTACATATATTTTGTTTACTGGTTAGACAGAAGCGGAACGTTTTTGGAAGGTGTGCCTCCCGTTACAACTGGAGTAGCACTGTAATTAATTCAAGGAACCACAGTAAAATACTGTGATGGTCTGTGACTGTTTGCTGCATCAGAAGCTGGAACGTTGTGATAAACGAAACCATGAATTCTGCTGTTTGCCAAACATTCTTGGAGGAAAACATCCAACCAACTTGATCAGAATCTGAAACGAGCTTGAGTTCTGCAGCACTAAAATGATCCAAGACACACAAGAAAGTCCATCTCTGAAAGGTTGAAGAAAGACAAAATTATGACTTTGAATCCTGAATCTTAATTAGATGCTGTGGTGTGTCCTTAAGAACGCTGTCCATGGTCTGAATTATAACAAGTCTGCAGAAATTAATGGTCCAAAGTTCCTCCAAAGTGCTGCAAATGACTCATTGCAAGTTATTGCAAATATTTAATGTCAGTTGTTGCTGCTAAAGGGTGGCCCAACCTGTTATTGGGTGTTACAGTCAGAAAGTGCTGGAAGCTACTTGTACAGACCTGGGAAGTGGGCTTAGCCAAAGAAAGGTCCAGAGCTGATTTTAGCCACAGTCAGCCCCTGCCCCTGCACACACACTGTAAAAAACAAAGCTAAACCCCTCTCCTGTGGTGCTTCAACTTCTATTATCACACCCAAACTGTCCAGCAGGGGGAGCCAAACATTACTGGTTTTAATAGCTGTTTACACCACTGTTAAATTTATAGTTATGCTCAACAGAGTTAACATGAAAATATTCACTCAGTTTTCGCATAGAAAATAAAATCAGCGTAGACATAGGGAAATGTGAAGGATGCATTAGCCTTAGAACAGTTATGCAAAGTTATGCAAAGGGAACCAGTTTCTGATCTACTAGGTCGGGTGTATATTTGAATTAAGCCTTTAGAGTGGCTTCAGGTGACGTGCTGTGAATTTGCTCCGTGGTATTGAAGGGAATTATTCAACTATCCAACTGCAAATGGAATAAAACAGATCCAGGAGTTTGGTTGCTTATGCTGAGCCGTCTGATTAAATTACTAAATCTGGTATTTACTTACTAAAAAAGTTAGAAATGTTAAAGAACAAACCACCGGACTTTGTTTTCAAAGCTTGAAGACATTTCACTTCCCATCCAGGAAGCTTTTTCAATTCAAAATGTCTGGATTAGCGTTTAGTTCCAGGCTTTATAGTGTGGCCCAACAAAGCCTTGTTATGGCTTAGAAAACATGCAAATTGTACAGGAAGAATAGCCCCGCCCCTTAGTAATGGGGAGCCGTTGAGATCTTTGTTAGCCAGCAATACCCGATACTGGTCTATGCGTCTGAAAAGGGGAAGGGTTAGGGGCATTGTTAGCCTAGCTGACCAGGCGAGATGTCTTGGTATTTATTTTCATTCGGTTAAATTGCAGGTTTTTATCTGAGACCACAGACACCTGTTTAAGCTTCAGTCAGATTTAAACTAGACATGTTTCTTTCTCTTTTTTTTTTTTTTTTACGGCAATAGTGGCTAGTGACTAGAGGGGGAGAGACATGCAGGAAAGGACAAAAGACCGGATTCAAACCCAGGTCACCGCGTCGAGGACTAAGGCCTCCATACATGTGTCGTGAGCTCTAACCACTGCGGCACCAAAAACATGTTTCTTTACTGATTTCATTCTTTTCTCAGCAATTCAGCTCCACAGAAACGACTGGTTCAGTCCAGATTTGGGAGCCCCAGTAAATACCTTTAACATGACTTTCGTTATTTTCTACAATGGTCAAACTCTTTTCTGGCTTTGCTCTGGCAGAATGACTTTATTGGTTGTCAGTAGAAAGTACTGCAGTCTATGACCTTCGGAATATGAGCATGTCCTTCATTTCCATGATGTTTTTAAGCCAGAACCACTGATGCAGACTGTGCTGTATGGAGTTGATATAGTGATGATTCTTCGTTTGTTCCTTTGGCATTTTCATCATGCCTACCTTAACAGCTTCCCCACTTTAACATATCATCCTCCTCTATTTTATACTTCCTGTGAACACAGCATGTTTATCTGTTCAGAAAGGGTCACTTTCCACTTGGTGTGTTATTTTATTTTAGCAGATATATTTGTATTGTTTACATATGAAAACAGCCTTTATGAATTTTTCTAAACAGATTCTGCTGTTTTGGATAGTTCACATGTTGCTCTTTTTTGTTTAGATTTTCCCCATTTAGGGCTCAACCAGCTTCCTCCAAAAATGTGAAAATATTTTGGTTTAATTTACTTTCCTACGGGTACACAAATGTAATGTTATAGTTTTTTTTATGTCTGTCTCTGTATTGTTCTTTGATGGACTGACCGTTTAAGGTGTGTCTTTAAAGTTGAGAGTCTGTATGTGCTCTGAAAAAATGAAGCATTCCTTCTGTTCTGATAAAGACTAAACATGGGTATTGAAAACTGAAAATATTTTTAAATGATAAAAAAAAAAAGGTACAACCTTTTTCAGAAACAGGCAGCTTTTGAAATAATGAAAATAAAATATAGGTGTGTTTATAGCTTTTTGACAATGACCAGGACTACAGTGAGGAGGTGGAGCAGCTGGTGCAAAGATAACAGCCTGATCCTGAATGTGGAGAAAACAAAAACACGCTCCACTGCTAATCAACAGCTCAGCTGTAGAGGGGGTCAGCAGCACCAAATTCCTGGGGGTGCACATCACAGACACCCTCACCTGGAATGTAAACATCACCTCACTGGTCAAAAGGGCACAGAAGCCCTTGTTCTTTCTGTAGAGGATGAGGAGAGCCCACCTGCCCCCCCATCCTCCCCACCTTCTCCAGAAGCACCATAGAGAGCGTTCTGAGCAGCTGTCTCACTGTGTGGTGTGGAGGCTGCAGCGCCTCAGACTGGAAGAAGGTGAGAACAGCAGAGAGGATCATGGGGGCTCCTCTTCCCTCCATTAAAGACATTTCATCCCAGCGCTGCGTGTTACAACTAGGGGTGTGCAAAATAATCGTCATGACGATGCATCGTGATTCTAATTTTCATGATTTACTGCATCGATTCTTGACGCCAAGTATCGATTATTAATTTTAAAAAATGAATAAATATAGTTGCATGAATGGTTGGTGAACATCAGCCAAAAACAAGTGTAATACAAGTTCAAGTCCAGTAGATGTCGCTGCAAATGTGTTGACGCACGCTGCCTTGTGTCACAAGCATTTCCGGCCGCGGGATACTGTGCCGTGTCATTCAAAAACAAAATATGGAGGAGAAAATATTGCAATGCATCGCAATAATTCAAGTATCATGATGCATCGTGATAGAATCGCATCGTGGCCTGTGAATCGTGATTCGAATCGAATCGTGACTTCTTTGGCAATACCCACCCCTATTTACAACCCTGTAACATCATCAATGACCCCTCACCCCCCACCATGGACTGTTCTCCCTGCTGCCCTCTGGGAAGAGGCTTCACAGCATTCAATGCAGGTCCAGCAGATTCAGAAACAGTTTATTCCCCACCGCCATCAGACAGCTGAATGTTGTAAAAACTCTAAATCATTTCACAGACTCTGCATCAAACTGACCATATCAATGCCCTTTATTGCACCATGTTTTTTTTCCTCCCACACTGTTTACATTTGAACACTGCAGCACTTTAAGAAATGGAAATGTCATGAGAAGTAACAACACGACATTTTGTTTTACAAGAGACATTAAATGTGGTCTCAGTCTAAGTCTGTTTAAGGTGTTTATTTAAAGTTGTGTTCTGAAAAAAATAAAGCACTCCTTTTGTTCTGATAAAGACTAAACATGGGTATTGAAAAATGAAAATACTTTAAAATAAAATAAGAAAATACAAATTTATTTTGTTCAGGAAACTTCAGCTTTTGAAATAATGAAAATAAAATGTCTGCATTTATTTTAGAGAACATTTCTATATTTTCAGGTCCAAAGTTAGACTAAAACCTCGGGATTAAACCTTTACTTTCTGATACAAACAAACAAACATCCAAACAGTAAAATCCGCTCCTCTATATGTACATGATGACGGATCGGAGTGAGATGTCTCAACAACCAATCAGCATCGCCACACCGCGCATGCGCACAACATACGGCCTCTGTCTAAAGCATAGAGCAGGTAGTGGCTCATTACGACTTAAAGACGATCTTTGTGGCCTTTATCAGTCTGCAGCAACATCCGGAGCTTTCCTTTCAGCCATTTCCACCTGCTTCATTGAGCTAGTGAACCCGGACCGCCTCTGGAACAGAAGCACCCAGCTGCCGTCCTCCGCCGCTCCGCTGAAGCCGCCGGGATGCAGGAGGAGGCTGGGCAGAGGAGCGAGGAGCAGCCGGTAAATTCCTCCTGGAGTCCAGAGGAGCCAAAACCGAACCGCGTAGAACCTGATTCACTTCATTAAAGCTGAAGGTTTTAATTGATCCTTTAATCTGGATCCATAGTTAAACAATTCTTCTGTAAAAACCTCATCCTTGCTGATCCCACCTGTTTGAGTTTAATTTTTTTAATTTATTAATTGATATTTCTGCTCAGCTTTGATGTCACGAGCCAAGAAACTATTTTTAATATTCAATTCTGGGCGTGAAATTGATTATTTTGTTAAATTCCATTAGACCTCAATGTAAAAAAAAACAGTGCAGTTTGCTTCTAACTTGTGATGTGAGTCATATTCATGCTGCCAAGGTCAGAGTTCCTGAAGAGCTTCCAGTAAGAGAGAAAAAAGCAGCTCTGGGCTGCTGGGAATGATTCAAGGCTCAGGCTGAGCTGGAAGTCTGCATATGGGAAAACATCCAGCAGTTTGACACATCAACAGTCCTTGGATGGGAGCATCCTGGGTTTTACTTTTTATTAAACTGTAGAGCTTATTGTTTCACTCCCAAACCCAATCCTTCATTATTTAGTTTGAAATTTATTAGAGCTTTTAGATTTAATGGGAATGTTTTCCTTTGACAGCTGTTATTGCAGCAGAGTGGTGTGATTGAACCCCAGACAGCTCCACAGTGAGCCTGTAGGGTCTCTGCTTTCAGTCTAAATGAGCTGCTTCAGTGAATGTGGCTGAGCAGGTTTTATTCAAACAATCAGAGGCGCTCTAGTCACATTCATGCTGTTTGAGTTGATCTTGTTTGAGAAACAAGAATCTTCCAGATTCTCAGAGTTTTTGAAAGTCTGCAGCCAATCAGCCTTTAACCTGTTAGATGACATTATGGGTTCATTTACTTAATATTGATTTATATTTTCCAGATCAGACCGGTTGGTCTGCGTTCTCAGAGATAATCCCAGCAGCTATAAGTGGAGCTAGTCCAGGTAAAAGCCACCTGGGGCTGTGATCACTGTGGGTGGAGCTTAGCTGCAGGTAGAAACAGGAGGTCAGACGGTGTACAGTCTGAATGCTGACTGAAACCTTTTCCTTAGTGTTTGAGTTTCAATGGAATTAAAATGTTATTTTTTGCTTTCTTTCAGTCTTGATGTTGAGAACGCTTCTTTCTCAGGTTTAACCCGAGGCAGAACCAGAGCAGACCGGGGCGACAGTGGAGACGTTTTTGTGTATAAGGAATAATTATCTGCTGAGGGGAGTGTAGACAAACCCTTTTTTGTGGGTCGCATGACCCAAATGATGCAGCCCACAAATTCATCCTCTGCCCCCTTTCTGCGCTGTTGCGTTGCCGTGGTGACAGCATCCCAGCTGGGGGCCACAGACGGTGTTTGTGGCTGTGAATCAGGGGGACGTTGGGAGCTCTGTCTCTTCTTTTTTACATCTTTCCATGTTGTTGGAGTGGATGAGTCAGAGAAGAGAAGATGCTGGTTGTCATGGTATCCCAGGCCTTTATTAAAACGAGCGTTATTTAAGGGTAGCTTATCAATCATTTGGTCTGTGCTGCAAAAATATTTGTTTATTCCAATGATGTAGTTATAAAATAATGATGCAGTGTTTTAGGAACTTTAGGATTACCTTTATACTGTAACATCTTCAATAGGTAGGCACCATAAACTACTGAGATTTCACTTTCATTTAGCTAATATAAGGTGTCCTAGTTATTTTATTGATAACCTACCCTTAAAATGAAGCTATTCTAGAAAAGAGAAAACAGAGCAGCAAGGCCAGCCCAGGACACAAGCAAACTAAGCGGCTGCTAGGGCCACCAGGCAACTAAGCGGCCCCAAAGAACAATAATTTGTTTTTGTTTGCATGTGTAGTGATTTCTTTATAAATATAGAAACAAAACCACATTATTTCCATAGTCAAATTAGTTATTTTTGCATCAGTTTGTCTGTTCAAATGGGTAGACTTCAGAGATAGAAAACATTTGAACATCCTAAAGCACAGATGAACTTGTTTTCTTATTTAACACTCTTAAAATGAGATCTGAGTTGAATGAATGAATAGACTTTATATATATATATATATATATATACACACACATATATATATATATATATATATATATATATATATATGTATATATATATATATGTATGTGTGTGTATATATATATATATATATACATATATGTATATATATGTATATGTATATATATATATATACATATACATATATATATATATATATACATATACATATATATATATATATATATATATATATATATATATATATATATATATATATATATATATATATATATGTATGTATATGTGTTTTTTTTTTATTGAATAAAGCCCTTGGTGTGTATTCACAATGAATGGTAACTGAGTCATGAAGCTGAGCATGTTTGCAGTCGGTAAACAAGGATTTCAAGTGGCTAAGCCGGTTAGCACCTCTCAGCAAAATTGTGTAAATAATTAAACAAAAGTCCTAAACCCAGAGTGAAAAAAAGACAAAAGTATTTGATTCCAACAGGGATAAGAGTGGAACAGCGCAGGGAATACCGTATGAATGTTGGTTTTCCCTGAAGAGGAAGCTAAAGCTGCTGAGGCGTTCAATGTGCCTACGGAGGTGATGGATACGGGACTTCTTTAGATCAGATTCAGGTCAGGGCTTATTAACGATGCACTTACTGGGAAAATGGCATTTAGATGGTTTAGTTTATGTTAAATGAAGAGAACATAATGAAGAGAACATTTAAAGATTTTATATTTCTTAGCATGATGCTGTGTCTGTGTTTGCGTTAGTTAGAAATAGGAATTTTCTTTTCCCTTAATGTTCTTATAGGATGCTCTGGGGGGGATTTAATAGAACGTAGAGCTGCTGCAGATCAGTTTATTTGATGAATAGCTGTTGGTCGTAATGGAAAGTTTTAATGATCAATAAGACATTGCTTCTATAAAATAACAGAAGACTTGAGCCTGTTTTTCCATGTGTATTTGGAGACAAACAGCGTTTGAGGAGCTGTACCAAAGAGTTGGTGAATGTGCCCCGAGCAAAAAGTAATCACATCCCTAACATTCTAACAATATATACTGTATAGTCATTGGAACAACATTTCCGCCAACTCTTCAACCACACCAAACTTGGCTTCACAGTGAGGCATTACAGGATGGGCATGCTCCATTTAATAGCTTCACTATTGTGGCAATCAGTCTTTCTAATCGATTACTGCCAGCAGATGGCGCCATCTTAATCTCTGCTCATTTCGTTTGCTGCTGCAATTCTATTTAGGCTCTAAAAGAACTGTAAACAGGATGAAGTCTTGGTGTATATAACCTTATGATCAAAAGATTTCTGGTCTGTTTTATGTGGGCATTTAACGAGATAATGGACCTTTAAGGAGAGAGTGGAGAACTGAGGGACAACAGTGTGAGAGGTAAAGGTAGAGGAAGTTTAGGTTTTAAATACAGCTTTCTTATATTTATATGCAATAGCTAAATATTCATCCTTTTATTTCCATTATTTAGGATAATGCTTGATGTTTTATAGTTTGATTTAATAATGTAATAATTTAACCACGCTGTTACACTTGCTATGCTTGGATTGAAAGTTATATGTTTCTCACATTGTTGTTGCAGTTGGAATCGGAGCGTATAAACCTGAAGACAATTTATCTGTAAATAAACTGCATCCTAGTTTTTATTTTTTGTTTTTATATTACTTTCAGTAATACTAGAGGTAGAGATAAATCAATCTGATATCTAGATTGGCTTAGATATTGACTAATTTGCTGGATAGAAAATCGGTGATTCATATCAGAGATCCAATCCAGAGCATCATACGTGGGAATGTTATTTCTTGCTGCTTATTTGTGGATAAATAACAAAGAGTTAATATATATCTGTATTAATGTGTTACCTTTTTAAAAAATGTTGCATGATATAATACTGGAACCCCAGTCGGCCTCAGCAGCAGATCCCACTGAGCCTCGTTCTGCTGGAGGTTTCTTTCTGTTAAAAGGAAGTTTTCCTCTCCACGGTCGCTACAAGCATGCTTAGTGTGAGGGAATACTGATGTCAATGTAATCGGCTGGGTTTCTTTAGGCCTTAAAGGCACACAATGTAAGATATTTTCAATCATTGTACTTAGCTACAGCTTAAACTGTATGACGAAACCTCTGCTTCAACTGCAGGATTTGCTCACGAATGCCTTACGAGGGCCAACTGAATTTAAAACACCCACAATGAGGCTGAAACTTGGCCCAATGGAAAAAACTCTGGTACGACTGGAGAATCGTACTGTATGCCTGACTGAGACAGAAAACTGAGCTGATCTGGTTGATTTGTCTCCAATTGCCTTTAGATGAGGAGTTGTGAATCGGCGCTATATAAGTAAACTGAGTTGATTCCATTTAACAGCTGAATTAGATCTTGTCAGATATCAGCTGATACGCTCAGCCAAGGTATCTGATTGGATCAGAAAAAACTGGACCATGCATCTCTAAGCATACGATGCATGTCAATAGGAGACTGAAAAGTTCCTACTCGGTGTCTGAATGATCTGATATTCAAACTGTTGATTGCAGAAGTCCATATTATTGGCTGAAATAGAGGGACCTGAAGGTGCCTCAGTGAAGCGTGGGCCCCCCCGCCTAGAAAATATGTTTTAGTATTATTTTTTTCTATTTGATAAATGCTGCGATGTTAGCTTTGCTCAGACGTGGGACAGTGATGATGCCGGTGTTGACCTGCTGTTTCTGGCTCTCCTGCAGTGAAGCGACATGGGCAGCGGCAGATGGACAGAGCAACCGTGGGCCGACCACTGACACACAGACACAGTCAGCATGGAGCAGGGCTTCAGTTTAAACTCCCTGGTGAGTTACGCCTCTGTGTTTTTAAACCTGAAGGGACTGTGAGGACAGGATACTCCAGAACAACTGGTAACATTATGACAAAAAGAGTTCAGTCTAGTTTATATGAGGTTAATTTAAGGCTGAAAAAATGATTCTGAGATACTTGGCCTTTAATTACTCCACATAGATGGAGTTTAGGGTAATTTCATCAGTAAGTCAATGTTTTGTTCAATTCAATTCAAAAATGCCTTAATTTCTTTAACCAGGTGTTGATAGCTGTAGGCAGGAAGGTTTTTCTGTAGAGGTCTGCCGTGCACCGCATCTGGAGAAGCCTCTGACTGAAGATAATCTGTTGTTGTTTAAAAATGTTCTGAAGAGGATCAAACTGTTGTCCACAATGTTCTACACTTTATGAAAAATCCTTCTTTGTGACATAATCTCTAGAGGTTCTAGAGGAGTTCCTACAACAGAGCTCGCCTTCTCAATTAGCTTATTGAGCTTTTTTAAATATTTTGCTCCAATGCTGTTACCCAAACATAGCAAAAAGATCACACTATCCACAACAGACTTATAGAAGATATTTAGCATCTTGTTGCAAATGGCGAAGGACTTAAGTATGGCTGAAACAACTACTTGGATTAATCGATTGTTGATTGTCGTCTTATTTATTAATCGATTAATCGTCAACTGGAGTATAGAGACTCTGAATCAGGCCTTTAGCTGACAGAGTGACCTATTTAGAGCAGTACTTATACCAAGAGTGTAAAGAAATGTATACACATTTTGATTTTAAAATAAAAAAATAAGCTTTCTTCTGTCAATGTGCTCTATCTAGAACTCAAAATGGAAAAGTTTTAGTTTCACCTGCTTTATTTTGTACAAAATCCTATTTAAGGAACATTAAATCTCTGATTATCAATCAATTAATCGCAAAAAAATTTTGATTTATGAAATAATCAATAGTTTCAGCCCTAGACCTAAGCTTCCTTAGGAAGTACAATCTGCTCTGTCCCTCCATGTAAATGGCTACAGTTGCATCTCCAGTCTAGTTTGTTTTCCAGGTAAAAACCAAGGTATTTATTCCCCTCCGCCACCTCCACTTCTTCTCCTTTGATGTTAATAGGATTCAACTTGTTCCTGTTTCTTCTGAATTTCTACAATCATCTTGTTTTGTTGAGATTCAGAATCAGATGACTGTTTCCAGACCATGGCACAAAGCGCTTCACCAGCTCTCTGTACTCAGATTCTTGTCCACCTTTGATGCACCCAGTTGTTAAGGGAAAAGGTTAATTTATTTGCATGTAAAATGAACTGAACCCTGAAGTAACTTACTCAGTCATCCTGTTTTTAAGGCATGTGACGGATCATTAGATGTGTCGGGTCTTCCTCTCTGAGGCTCCTCTCTGTGTGCACAGATAGAACGTCGTCCTCTTCATTTAAATGAATGGAGGAACAAAAGCTGCATTCATGCTTCCAGCTTGATCCGGAAACGAGGGATTCTGTGGTTACAGCTTGTGCTTTAAATGAGTTGGAGTGAACAACAACAGCAGCACTTTGTTTTTCTTCAGGCTTTCTCATCTGCTGTGGTTTATATGGTTTCCATGGTTACTGCCAATGTTTTGGGGACTGGGCTGAAACATCTCTCTGTGCTTCCTGTTGCCATAGAAGAAGCTGGCGGCGGAGCCGGACTACACGGACGTGACACTAACGGCTGCAGAGCGAGTGCGAGCGCTAGCGAAGATGGGATGCTGCGTGGAGATCAATGAGGAGATCGAACCCAGACGCTACTTTCGCTCCGGAGTGGAGATGGAGCGCATGGCAGCAGTTTACCTGGAGGAGGGCAGCCTGGAGAACGCCTATGTTCTCTACACCAAGTTCATCACGTGAGAAACACCTGAGTGGGCGGGGCTTGTCTTTACCAGGGAGGAAGTTCATTCTAAGCTTCTTGTTGCTCAGGCTGTTCGTGGAGAAGCTGCCGAGCCACAGGGATTACCAGCGATGTTCGGCCATTCCAGAGAAGCAGCTAATCATGAAGGTAATGGGATTGTTCTCCCAGCAACTTAAGGGTGAAAACACTCTTTTTTTTTTTTTTTTGTCTATGAAACTTAAATCCTTCTGCTGAATTCTGACTGTTTGATACCAAACACTGACTCTAGATTTCTGTCCTGATTCGTTGTCTCTACATCTCAGAGGCTTCCCCTTCTGTCCTTCAGTGGCAACATCAGGAAACTGTCAGACTCCAAAGTTTCTTTTTTTTCTTGGCATGCTCAGGCCTTTGACCATGATAATGCTTCTGTAAAACAATCTGTTCCTGAAGCAGGATGTGTCCCTTAATCTATGGAAATCTAATCTGTTCTATAATGCAGGCATGCTTAAAGTCGGTCCTTGAGGGCCGCTGTCCTGCAGGTTTTAGTGGTTTCCCACTTAATCCCAGCTGATTTTACTTGATAGCTGATTAACAGGCTGTTGCTGAACTTCAATCATCAGAATCAGCTTTGCCAAAGCAGGGAAACCTCTAAAACCTGCAGGACAGCCGCCCTTAAAGACTGACTTTGGGCATGCCTGCTATAATAATAAGAGCCTTAAACTTATTGGTTCAGATTTTCAAATTATAAAAAGATAATATTCTGTTTTTACAGAGAAATCAGAAAGGAAAAACTTTCTAATCTGATCTGAGATGAAGAGCTGGAAAGTTTATAAATACATATATTCCAAACTTTTAAAAAAAGGCATCTTTTTTTAACATTTAGAGTGTATTTGTGCAGATTCTTACTCTACACTGCAAAAATTGATCAAGAAATGAATAAAATGAAATAAGATGATCTTATTTAATCTGGTAAGTAACATTATTTGTCCATCCTAAAGTGTTTTGTAGGATGCACATGGGTAGAAGTATTTTTAAAATGAATTAAGAATATTACACATGAAATGAGGTAAAGAAAATGATTTTTCTTATTTTAACTGCAAAACTCTTGTTTCACTGGCAAACCATTTTATTAACACACTTAAATTAAGTACAAAAATACTTATTACAAGAAAAATGTTTGTTGTGTAGAAATTTTCTATGCAAATGGTTAAAAAAGTTTCTCACAAAATGACTCAACTAAACAGCAACAGGAGACCTTGTTAAGATCCTCTCATTGTTCAGGATTATAATCATTCCTTATGTTGATGGGGCAATTATGATTTAATGTAATGTTGCATCAAAGTCATGCAGCAGGACATACCAGGTGGTTCTGAGTTATTAGGAATCAAACAGGCTTATTTTAAACTTTAATATTCTGCATTTAGTAGCGCCACAGCAGCACTGTAATGAATAAAAACCTATCTCCATGTTGTGATGTCAGAAGGAGAACAGTTTTGGAGGTAGCTCAGCATTCCGTAATGGAGATGGATGGAAACATTAACTGTTCCAGAACATCTAATAATGTATAATAAAAAAAACACACACACAAAAAAAACACTGCATAAATTCCTCCAAACCTTCTGTTAAAACCATGACTCATGAAACACCTTATACAGGGGGATTCAATTAAAACTTAAAGAGGTCCAGTCCAACAATATTTTCAGCATCAATCTTTAGGCTCAAAAACAGCCTCTGCTTCTTTGCTGAAAATTTCTAAAATTTCCTTTTACCTGAACCTGGTGGCTCGGATGTGAAGCTGGAAGTGGAAGCGCTGAAAGCGAAATTGGCAGGTTCTTAAAGTTGTAGGGAAGTCATGTTTAAATTTCAAATCATTCTGGCTTAAACATGTATATAAATGTACTATTTATCAGACCATTTTGTCTTGTCTTAAAATCTGTTTTTATTACCTTCTGCAGGCCAGTTAGTTATACGTCAGCCTGAACACCTAAATTCGGCCAATCATATATCAACAGTCATCTGTCAATCAAATGTTTTCAGTCATAGCATCTGGATTCATATGTCGCAGCTAATATGCGCAACGGTTGAAATCAGAAATCAGAATCCTTTCCTTTCCCATTGAGTTGCGTCCCAGTGTTCACGGGGATGGACGTCTGCGTCTTCAGCAGGCGTAGAGCTAACAGAACTGGCAGCGTTGCGAGGCAAGGGCTCAAACATGTACGGCTGGAAGCCTTCTACACCAAACCAAGCTTCTGCCGCCCTGGCGTCCTCTTCCACAACATCTTCGTCCCCGCTTTCCTCCTCTAAATAAAAAATGGATGACGGAGGAGACTCATCCACGACCTCCGACACTAAACTCTCCTCCTCTTGCATGTTTCCTCTGTCCATAGCGTTCCTTGACAGTGTCGTTTCTAAGTCACCAGTTTAGTGCTACTTGGTCCCAATGGAATTTCCCATTGGGAACCTACTAGCACTAAGTTGCTAACTGGTTAGCAAGATGCTTCCGACAAACCGGCTAGGGGTGTAAATCACACCCATCATGGCGATTCGATACAGGCGATACAGGCTGAAATCAATGAAAGCTGTAATATCGTTATGCATTTTTTTTTAGAAACAACAGAAAATAACAGAAGTAGAAAAGTTGCATCAAAAAATACTGCAAAAATACTGCAGAAAATCAGTGCAATGAGTGCAATGCAATACCTCGGCTCCAGACTTTCCGCCCCCTCCACAGAAGCTCCGCTGCTCCTCTCCCAAATTGTAGCTGACCGCAAACAGCGCCGCAGACAGGAGGCCAGCTTGTTTTGTTTTATGACTGAAATTGCAGAAAACAACTCATGAAGTTTGACCCGCTAGAAAAGCGAGGTGCGCAAGAACGCTGGGACCCTTTTATCCACCTGGATCACTGCTCTTTTTGGCCCTCATGTCCTTCCGTCGTCGGACTAAACTCGCCCCCACTTCCTCGCCGCCTCGGCCGTATCTAGACCCACAGCGTGTAGCTCAGACCACGCTGCAATATTAAGCATAAATCAAAAATGTCTGTGTCAAGCTTACTGCGACACACTGCTGTAAGAGTATAACCAGGAAGTGCGGTAGGAGGGCAAAATAGGTTTAGCGCCACCGCAGCACGGGAGGGAGAATTACACCCAGGAGCAAATGGATAAAAATAGACCGGAGAAAAAAAAAACATGAATCGATTCTCTTGCGGACATATCAATGCATCGGATCGTCGGCTGTTGGATCGATGCATCGATACAAAACGATTATTATTTACACCCCTAAAACCGGCCACAACCAAAGATGCCTGCAAACCTTCCGCCACAACAATCCCGCCTCCTTGATAATCAACCAATCACATTCACTTTATTCACTCGTGGAAAGTCGTGCACCAATCAGGAGAATTTGGAAATGCAACAGTTGGAACAGCCACATCCCTACGACTTTTAATAACAATCGGTCTGTGTCTGACTCAAACACCTAAAATAAAATAAAAAGACACATCCTTCATAAAAATTTGTTCCAAGCAAGGAAGAAACGCTGTGGAGTGCTCCAACTTCTCCTGATCTCATCTACCCTGATTCCTCCACTTGAAAGCAGCTGCGGATCCTTAGCAAATTAAATAAGCCGACACCATCTTTATGGGGACTGAAGCAAAAAGCTGCGACACCACGTGAAAGCATAGCTGTATCGTAATCCAGGAAATCTTCAGCAGCTGTCTGTAACCAAACAACTGCTCCAACTCCCCTCAGTCACTAAGTACTGATGGAGGAATGGCAGTGTTTGTTTTAAAAATAAAAACTATTTTATGCGGGCCACATTGAAATTATTACATTGATCATCGGTATTAACTTTTTGGTTTACAAAAAATGTCAATATCTACACTATAAATAATGGGTTATTCTTTGAATATTGGAGAAGGTAAAGATACTATTGGTACTATTGGTAAGATACTATTAACGTCAATCTGACATGGTGTATTATTACGACTGTCATTTAATTCAACATTTTAAAGATGTGATAACTTTCCTGTGATGCAGACGCATTGGATCTGGCTAAATGTTGATCGATAAACCACAGAATTAAAGAGCAGACCTAGAAGAACAGAGGATGGTGAAAAACGATGCACACACTGGTACCTGAAAATAAACACATTATGTTAAACACGGTGAGACGTTCAGTGATGCGAGCAGCGACTAACTAGAAATATTCAGGCTGGTCACAGTTGAGGGAACCATCCTGAATACCTGTCTGTCTTTGTTAATGGGCTCTCGCTCTCCTGCCAGATGGCAGCAGCTTTAGAGGATTGCAGAGGATCGTTTCTGCAGATTTGACTCCTTTTTTCCTCAAAGCCCATTAATTTAAATCCAGTTGAAACATTTGCTGTAGAGCATTTATTTTACCGTCCTTTTTAACTGCCCGACTCAACTTGTTTTTGTCTTTGGCTAAGCTTCCAGTAGCAGGATACCATGATAAGATAGGACACTTTAAATAAGTGCCTTCAACACTAATTGTAATTGTATTAAAGATTATTGGGCTTCCTTAAAAAAGAGAACCTCTCCGACCTTTCTATAAGCAGTCAGCGTTTAACATTTAATCAAGCATTTAAGCTTTTTTTTTTAGTCTAAACTGCTCTTAGGTGTTTAAAGGTTTTGCTTCACTTCCTGCCCCCTCGTGGCAGAAGATCTGACGTTTGCTGATTCCAGCCGTCCACCCAGACATGACCATATGGTGACACTGAGATCCACAAAGTTTTCCTAAAACCTGGAAAGCTGGTCAATGTCCTGAAAGTGGGACCAGGGACCGACAGCATGTCATCATGATGAGAGGTTCCTGCTTTTGAAATGACACAACCCTGTTAAATGGCTGTGTTCAAGACTCTGCATTTAGATAGGACACTATCAACAGTCGTTACCACGGCACAGGATGGCTGCTGACATTTCGCTCTCTGAGGTGCTTTAAAAGAACGTCTGGCAGGACGGTAGTCCATGAAAATAACCGCTGGATAAGCCCTTCAGGAAAACAGCATGAGGTTCAGGTTAACTGTTATGGACCTGAGTTACTTAGCAGCATCTGGTGGAACAAAGCTGATGTTGAGAAATTTCTCAAATTAATTCAATTCAATTTAGTTTATTTCTATAGCGCCAATTCACAACGCATATCATCTCAAGGCACTTTACAGTTCAACCAGATCATACAGTCAAATTGATACAAAGTTTTCTATCTAAGGAAAACCAGTTGATTGCATCGACTCGTTGACTTCAAGGCAATCCCTCACACTAAGCATGCTTGTAGCGACAGTGGAGAGGAAAAACTCCCTTTTAACAGGAAGAAACCTCCAGCAGAACCAGGCTCAGTGTGAGCGGCCATCTGCTGAGGCAGACTGGGGTTCAAGGAGACAGAAGCAGAGACACAAAAAGCAGCTGTAAAAGGCGGCCCCGTCCAGGAAACACACAGCCAGGCAGACGAGCTCTGAGCCAGCTCCCATGTCAGAGGATGAAGAGAGCACATCCAGCCAGTCACAGTCAGAGAAACAGGTCTACACTGGAAAACAGGCAGATCTCCAACATCTATAAACAAAGGTGTTGATGGAAGCAGCACAGCTGATATTTCTCTCCAGGATGGAGTCGCAGCCAAACAGGAACAGACCAGATGAAGCTACTATGAGAAAAAGCAGAGAGAGCAGAACGTTAGAGATTGAACTAACAGATTCTGCAGAGTGGGAGAATAGAGATAGAATGATGAAATGGGGTTCCTTATGTCCTCCAGCAGTCTAAGCCTATAGCAGCATAACTATAGAGATAGCTCAGGATAACCTGAGCCACTCTAACTATAAGCTTTATCAAAAAGGAAAGTTTTAAGCCTAGCCTTAAAAGTAGACAGGGTGTCTGCCTCACGGACTAAAACTGGTAGTTGGTTCCACAGGAGAGGAGCCTGATAACTAAAAGATCTGCCTCCCATTCTACTTTTAGAAATTCTAGGAACCACTAGTAAACCTGCAGATTGCAATTACTGCTTAAGAGCAAACTGTATGCTGTAGAAGACCATCTGGGAAAGGACAGGTCTTCACTAACTGGTACCATCTCAAACCCACTCAAATTGTCTAGGTTAGTATAAAATGTTTTCAAATATTTAGTTCTTCTCCATTATTAGATCTTATTTAGGTTAAATATTATTGAGCTCCAAAAAGTTTTGATACAGAAAAGTCATTCAAATTTATCAACATTTTAGATAATGGGTAACTGTTACTTTGCATAGTAACTAGATACGTTGATTGGGAAGTATTTGCGTTACTGACTCGTTTTTGGGAGTAACTAGCAACTGTTGCTAGATGCTTGATTTTTAGGTAACTACCCAACTTGTGATATGATACGTGTTATGATGCAATATTATTACGATATTGCATTATCACTATATATTCCAAAATTTTTTCAAGCTATCAAATTAAATGTATCAATAAAAAAAGCAGGTGCTGTATATGTTCATCAGAAGATATTGATCATTTAGTTATTCTGGTATCCATGTTGTTTGGGGTTTGAGTCAGTCCGTGTGCGTTTCTCAATTCACGAGAACGCGAGTACGTACTCGCGTTCTCGTCACGTCCGTTCTTGGCGAGAACGCAGGAAGATCGCACTTGACGAGAACGCGAGCACGCAAGCACGTATGTGTATTGGAGCAGAAGCGTACTCGTGACGTCATCACATGCAACGTTGTTTAGCATTTCTTTAACAGTCAAAACTATTTATTCCCTACACAAAACATTTTGAAAACAATATTTTTAATTTCTAAAGCTTAAAAAACGTTAAAAAAAATTACCGAACCGCAAAAAACCGCCATCAGAACGAGCGGTAGTTCACACATAACTAGACCGAGAGAAGTGCACTACAGACGGGGTAACATTAGCCCTGGTTGCGGTTACCCTCGGAGGTCTGCTGGTCACTCTGGTCCGCTCAACGTCGGACTTTTTTTTTTTATTTCGCACTAACTCTGTAAACAGACCACACAGGGAGGCTTCAATGTATAATGTTATCGCCTCAAACGATTTCAAAACATACTTTTGAAGAACAACAGCAGCAGAAAAGGGAATGTTTAACTTAACACTGTGAGCGCTGTCTCGAATCAAGCTGTGGCCGCGGGGCATTCTGGGGAAGCGGTCAGTCTGAAGAACGCTCAAGTCTGCTCTGATGCATGCTCGATAAAGAGGGCGGGGCGAGAACAACATCCGGGGATTTGATGCGAGAATTGGAACGGTACTCGGGCTGAGGCTGATGACGTGTCACGAGTACACGAGCACATGAGAACGCTCAAGAACGCATATTGAGAAACGCCCCGTGTCTTCTACTGTGACTACCTCAGCTGCAGATATGGCTCTGTGCTGCACAGCAAAAGGGCTCCATGGCGCTATCGACCAGAGTGGCGGTGCAGAGGTAGCCTATTTTCCCTCATTGTTTTAGGTAAAAATATATAATGGGAAGTAAAACATTGATATTATATCAGTCAGCAGAAAATCACAATATATCGGCAAAATTGATTTTTGATTTTTCCCACACACCTACCTAGGGCTGGGCGATATGAAGAAAATCTAATATGACGATGTATTTGGGCTATAATTGCTGTATAAAGTATTGGGGGAAAAAAAACGGTTAGTGAAATAGAGGCAGACTGCTTAATGTCGTCATGTAAATTTGTACTCAATGGTTGCGATAGTCATTCTAACTATAGTGCGTGGGAAAAGTCGAGATACGTTGAGTATGTTCGATGGCCCATGCCCTGATCCAGGTTCTGACCTGGGTTCTGGCTCATGTTCGCTTTCTGTGTCTGCAGAAACTCCAGGAGGAGGCTTTTCCTCGGAAAGAGGAGCTGAAGAAACGTCTTCAGGAGAAGTACAGCAGGGAGCACTCAGAGTACCTCAGGGTGCATGGTTTTATTTTTTTGGGTCGGGGGGAAGGAAGTTAAGTTAAATTGTGGATTAGGGTGTGAATTGTGCTAAGGTTAGCTTTAGGGTCAGCTCTAAATCCAGCTGTTTCCTCAGAGCCAGTCGGTGGCGGTGGATGGGTGTGGTCAGCGGCTGCAGCGGCTCACCTTGTTGGAGGAAGACAGGCGGCGCATCCTGCTGTTGGAGGAGGAGAAGCAGCGAGTAGCCGCCCTCCGACGGATGCAGATCGAGTCGGAGCAGTTCCGCTACTTTGAGGACCAGCTGAGACGTCAGGAGCTGGCTAATAAAAAGGAGGAGGCGGAGCTAAAGGTGCTGTATGTGGTGGACCAAAATATAGAAATAATATAGATAAATAAATACATAGAAATAAATAGATGCACCATGTAATAAGATGTCATATTTATTCTTTAATCTAAAATATTTTCCAAACAGAGACCTTATTAAATGATATAAAAACAAAATGTAACAATGGCTTAATCAGAGATGAAATAAATATTTCAGATCAATATGCTGCATTTGGAGCATATCGATGCTCCATGCGGGCAACCCTTCTCAGAAACATGTCTATCTAGCTTGAAAGGATCAGATCCGCCGCTGAATAACTCAGGTGACCCAGAGCGTTTCTCTACAGCCGCCGGAGCTTCCCTTAAACACCAGAGCTAACTAACAAAACAGGTCTGACCATTATCTGATCTAGAGCTGAAACAACTGGATTAATCCTGATTAATCTTTTATTGAAATAATCAACTAATTTAGAAATCGGTTACTCATGAACTGGAGTGTAGTCTAAAACATGTATTTAGCTGACAGAGCAACAGAAAATATACCATAATGTTGTTTAATAATAAATATTTTACGAGCTCTATCCAGAACTCCTCAAGTGGAGAAGTCTTCTTTAGGGAACCTTTGGCTATCTTATTATTAATCAATTGATCCAAAATATAAACGGATTAATCGATCTGCAAAATAATCGTTAGTTTCAACCTAAATCTCATCAGACATATTATACTACAGCGCTGAAAATGTCCTTTTACCTGGAACTCCACTAGGCCACTAACACCTCAGAGTTACAGGTCTAGTGCCCCTAGTGGCGAAAAGTTAGTATTGCTTTATTTATTATTATAATTATTCTTTTTATATAAAAAAATGATATAATTATCCCTACTTCTGATTCATAAACAAATGGAGAGGAAAGTGTTTCATGTATTAAAGGGGTCTAGAGGCTGAAATATTTAGGAACCTGTGCTGTAGCGTGCAGTTCTTACCTTTCTGTGGTCATTTACAGTGCAGCATAGTGATCTCTGTACTAAACTGTTGTACTCTGTGCATAGTCTGTTAAACTGTGTAGTAGTTTTATGGGGTTATGTACTGGATGTTGTGGTTTCTCCTGCAGGAGCAGACTAAAGTGCCTGAGGTCACAGATGGCTGCTGTCCATCCAGGCAACCAATCAAAAGCCGCGCACATTCTCAGGGGGTGGATCCCAACAAGAACCGGCCGTCTGTGACCATGAACCAACCAGTTGCCGCCTTAGCAGCAGTACACAGTGAGTAGAAGCAGCTGCACAGCTAGACCTGTCTGATGGCATGCTGGTTCACGATCAGACCTGCAGCTTTGGTTCCAGGGCCATCAGAGACTCGTAGCTCCGAGGCCTTGGTGTGAGTTTGATTCTTCTGTGCAGGTCAGAGGGTGGAGGGTCTGAGGCGGGTGGTGATCCCCAGAGACCTGACATACCGGTTCCTCCTGCTGGCCGACTCCAACACAGCCAGAGGAATAGAAACCTGTGGCGTCCTCTGCGGGCGGTTGGTGAGTTTTCGGGTTTCACAGAGGGGAAAAAAAAAACAGGCAGCAGAACCAGAACTTGTTCCTCTGAATGTTTGTCTCTCAGACCCACAATGAGTTCCTGCTGACGCATGTGGTGATCCCAAAGCAATCGGCCGGACCAGATTTCTGTGACATGGAGAACGTGGAGGAGCTATTCGGCTTCCAGGATAAACAGAACCTGCTGACTCTGGGCTGGATCCACGTATGACGACGCATCACACCACACATTCTAGAGCTTTAGTTCAGGAGCCGGAGGTGGAGGTCAGCTCTTATGTGTCGAGTTGTCTCATCGAGAGTTGGTTTTCCCTCACACCCACTCAGCCCTGATGGGGGTGGGGTAAAATAACTACGTTGTTCTCTGCTTCCCCTTCATTTACATCAGCTTATATCGCCATGACAACAGCACCTGTGATCCAGGGACAGAGATAGGAACAGATGGAGAGAAGTCTCACTCTTTAATGGTTTTAGTTCAGCTTATCTAAAAGATGCCAAGATCCATATGTGGGAAATACGTCATATGAAGAGATTCAGTTAATTCCACTCCAAAAATCATAACATTTATAATGGATCGTTTAAAGCCAGCTGGTCATTCTCATTGCAGTTGGTTTGAACCCTGTTCCATTCGCTGCTGCACATGGCTCTACTGCACGAGGTTGAACCTGCTAAATTCTGTATGCAGCGAATTTTGTTCCATTATTGTTGCAAACAAAGAACACATTTTGGGGCGTGACTCAGTGGCGCAGACCCATCTATGGAGGCCTTCGTCCTTGACATGGCCGACATCGGTTCGAACCCGGCCTGTGGTCCCTAACCATGTCTCTCCCCCTCTCATGTTCTCCCTTTCTGTCTGCCCACTTTACAATAAACGAGCCATTAGTGTTGTAAAAACCTCAAAAACAAAAAAAGGCACATTTTATAAATAGAAATTTGAAAAAAACACTTTCAGTTAATTAAAATTTGAAAAACAAATTGCAATTCCAGAAATTAAACTTTGAAATGTTTTAATGATAAAAATGTTTTGAGAGTAACTTACCTGTTTTATCACGTTTAATTTTAAGTTTTTTTTCTCATTTTTCATATATTTGTTTATTTTATATTTTACTTTTCAAATTTTGTTTTAAATTTAGTTTTACGAATGACATGTTCAAATTGCATTTCACAGATCATCCTTTTTGCCCCGTTAAACCCAATAAAAGCTCTAATTCCTGCCAATAGTGTTGACATCCTTTCAGACCAATACAAATACATCTTTGGTTCTCACTTTAGAGGAAAGCTCGTCCCCAGAAGTGGAGAGAAGGTGATCTGAAAACCACAATTTAAAAATGATTAAATTAGGTGAAATTCAATCTGAAAAGGAGAAATTTAAAACAAATATTAAACATATAATATATTATTTGCTTGAAAAGTAATGGAACAAAATTCACTCCATACATTTCCATAGAACCTGTTTCCGCTGTTGCTTTATAGCTGCGTTCACACCAAACACGTTTTGTGAGGAAAAAGCCTCTGATTTAGATGCAAAGTCTATGGAGGATGGCGTCAATCAGGGCACCCGGGTGTTCTGACATGTGACTATCGGTTAGCCGAGCATCGGACGCTGGAGTTCCAACAATTTAACCTTTGCCGCTCGATACCAGAGCATAAACCAATTGGAAAAGCTAAAACAGGGGTTTGTCTGGGAAGATGGACATTATATGCAAGCTGTTATTGTTTCTGGTACTTGCAGTTTTTCCCACCAACCTTAAAAACTCTTTATATTGTTTTACATTTTGTTATTTGGTACTTGTAACGGTATAATGACGATAAAGTTGAATTCTATTCTAGTTTATTCCAGATGTTGCGAACAGCAGAAGGAAATCCCTCACAGACTGCAGAGAGCTTTCAGTGGGGATTCCCAGTGCTGCCGGTGTTCTGTCAGATGAGCATACCCCATCAGACCAGCAAACCCATTGTCAATACCAGTTTATCCCAAAATACTGTTTAAACTACCTCAATAAGCATGTATCCCTTTAGTCATGTACAAAATAACTTTTTAATTACGTACTTTTTGATGTTTTTTGAAGCATATGGCAATCTGACAATAAATTGTTTGGTTTTTTTTGTACAAAACTAAAGGGATAAATTCAAATCTGATGTCCTTTGCATGCGTATTGAGTATGGGTATGTTGGTCTGACAGAACACCGGCCAGCTCTGGAGGTCTGACTCTCGACCAAGAACTGCACGTTTTAGCAATCCTGATGAGCTGACTGCACAGCTGGAGTTTTGAGGTGGACTTTCTTACTTGAAAATATGTTAAAACTATCTCTCCAACTTATCAAAGTAGATGAGCTACTCGCTAGCTACAGAATGTAGCTACAGAACAGAGCAGACGCTCACTCAAAATGCTTTTGATGTGAACGCAGCTTTAGCCCCGCCTCCACCCGTCAGTGTTTTGGCCGTCAGTAAGTGCATTCCACATGGGCTAGTGCTGTGCGGTTTGGTACCAGCCGGGCAGATCCCTATCCGACTTGCTCCCGTCTGCATCTGATGGCTGGAGCACGTGTTTCAGTTGCTCATGTCATGTCAATAAAAACACCACCACATGGCCTCCCCACCCTTTTAGTTTGTCAAAAATATGCTAGAAATTAATTCTTCAAGTATTTGTTCATATTGGGCTTAAGCTGATGAAGATTCTCAGTCATTCAGGTCATAGTCATTCTGTAAAAGTAAAAAAAAAATCCACTGGACTTGGTTTCCAAGATTTGAAGACGTTCGCCACCTCTCCAGGAAGCGCTCTCCATTCAAATGTCTGTTTGAGAAACATTTGAATTGAGAAAGCTTCCTGGAGAGGTGGCGAACGTCTTCAAATCTTGGAAACCAAGTCCAGTGGATTTTTTTGAACTTTTACGGAAAAATTGGGCTTGACAAGCTTTTTAGAACGGGGTTATTTTCACAAATAAAATGTATGCAATATTAGGCTATGCTGTTTTGGTTTGTAACCATAGAAACATTTCTGTTCGACCCGGTCTGTTTATGGTGCTTCAAAAGGTCTCTATTAAGCTTAACTTTTACACTACTTAAGGTCGAACCTGCTGGTTTCTCTTCACCTCACATTTTAGCCAGGAGTAGCTCCCCTTTGTACCGCCTCCTCAGAGGAAGGGAAAAAAAGCCAGGCAGGGAAAAAAGGGATGGAGAGAGCGGTTAACCCTGCAGCAGCTCTTCCTGCTCACTGAGGCAGAGTTTAGAAATTGTTCTCAATCTTCTGCTCAGTAAAATCTGAGGACAACCAGATCTGTTTTCTTTATTGATGTTAGTCTGCTCGACACAGCTTTGACCTTTTTGAAGCAAAAGTGTCGCTGAGTGTTTTGAGTGTACCTCAGTCATGTGACCACTTTGAGCGAGGCCTCATTATGTCATACTCTGTGTTGAGCTTTACAGTAAATTCAAATAATCTTGGCGTTTCAATGCTACTGAAGTATTTAAATGCAGCAGAATTGTGGCTCTAACCACGGGTTTTCCATTTACAGTCTTATTTAAAGACACGGAAAGAAATTTTATATTTAAATCTAATTTGGAACTGATTCAGAATAGTTTGCTACATGCACATAGTTAAAAAAGAGACAGAAACACAAACACACATACATTACAGACACATCTATACCCCCCACAGTCATCCACTGATTAATTTATAACAGATATTTATTCACACGGCACATCTAAACAGCTTTTGATGCTTCTCCTTTAATATGATCATCTTTATTTATCAGAACCACAGCAGGAACATGGGGAACTTTGGGAACTATATTGCAGTAGAGTCGGTTTGAATAATTTAAGCTATCAGATTTACTTAAAGGACAATTTATTAATGTGTTCAAATAATTGCATCCAGACATTCAAAAAACATTTCTTTGTTGTGATTGGCCTGCCAGATTTAGGGCCTGGGGGATTGATCAAGGCTAGACCAACTCACAGGCAAAAATTATTTTGGCCGCTGGCGGGTGGGGCTAGTTTAGTAGGCTAAACATTCGGTGCTTTCAACAACGCCCTCTAACGATCGTCTGGGATTCATAGAACCTTAGTTAAATAGATTTTCTGCAACGGTTGGTTGTTTTTATGTCCTTCCACCTGTTTTGTAGTCCTAACTTTTTTCTTACCTGTGCACTCAGACCCATCCCACCCAGACAGCTTTCTTGTCCAGCGTGGACCTCCACACTCACTGTTCCTACCAGCTGATGCTGCCGGAGGCTGTTGCCATCGTCTGTGCTCCAAAGCACAATGAGTATGTGCACAATGACTGGATTACATGTCCCATGCTGCCTTTAAGCCTCCTTCCTGACGCTGTGTGTGTTTCTCAGTACGGGTGTGTTCAGACTCACCGGTGCGGGTATGCTGGAAGTTTCTGGATGCAGACTGAAAGGTTTCCATCCACACGCAAAGGAGCCTCCTCTGTTCACGGTGAGAACATGTTGCTGCTTTTCTTGCGAATGAACGTAACAAATTCCCTATTTTTGTATTGTGGATGTACTAGGGGGGTTCAATAAGTAAGGCCCCTGGCCCGCTCCCAGATGTTTGATCAAGCTGAAATTTTACATGTGAAGTGTTTTAAATCTCTATAGATTAAATAGCAAATTACAGCTCTGGACTAATTATGGTTTCTGATTTACTGGTGTTCAAACTGAGTCACGTCTGAGTTTTACCATTGGAAAGGACTCACAGAATGGGAGACTTGATCAAATGAAAGTAACTTATGGTGATAATGTCCAATAATATGACCTTGTAAAACATTTTGCAAGGCAATATAATGGGCATCATCACCATAAGTTACTTTAATTTAATCAAAAGTCTCCTGTGGCGTTAGTCAACAGGCTCCATTTCAAACTTAACTCAGTTCAAACGCCTGTAAGTCAGAAACAATAAATAGTTCAGAGCTGCAATTTGCTACTTAATCTATAGAGATTTAAATAACGTTGCATGCAAATTATCAGCTCAATCAAACATCTGGAAGTGGGTCAGGGGCACTACTTATTGAACGCCCCTCTTATATACATGAAGATTTTCTGATCACTTTTAATTACCAGATTAATGTAGTTTGACTCACCTGCTACCATCATAACTCCATCCGCTCTCCTCTCCTCAGGTCTGTAAACATGTGGTGGTCAAGGACTACAAGCTCAACCTGTTTGACCTCAGGTGACAGAGGAGCCGCTGCCTCCCGTTTACTGCCATGCTTTTATTTTGAAGAGGAAACTGTGAACCTGCTGCCTCAGCATGTGTGGGTTTCCGTTATTCTGCCTGTTGTCTGTGATGCAGTAGACGATTAGTTTACTGCACCTAAACAAACTCAGAAGTGGGACTAACTGAGTGCCTTTAAACTGAACAGTGCAGGATGAGAGTGTTTGCTTCTGCTCTATGAACTTAAAAAATATGATTCCTGAATCTGCTGTGAAACCAGAAATCCAGTATTTGTTCTGCACTGATATGTTTTAAACACAGCAGAGGGATTTTAACCCTTTAATATTTTTATCTTATTTTGAAAAACTGTCGTTTATTTGTTTTTTCTTTTTTCTTTTTTTACTCTGCAGTTTTATTTGTTTTTCCCCTGAACAGCTCAGAAACCTGCAGTTGATCTGATCAGACCAACCATCCGTGTGGGAAATAAGAACATAAAGGAGTCATAACCTGGAACATACCTAAAGTCTATCCGTGTTTTTTTTTTTTTTTCTTGTTTTTTTGAGTGGGAGTGTGCTCTCCACAAAGTCCAATTTTGGTTGCAAGGTCCTTCAGCTGGAATTATGATGATACAAACTCTATATTTGAAGAAATATGTGGTATCACTGATTTAGAAATAGAAGCTGAAGAAGGAAATTGTCATGACTTCATTAAGAATTAAACACACGTCTCAAAAGTTCTCTTTTCCGTGTAAGAAAACTTCAAAAGTGATTTGTTTTTTTAGTCAATAAGAAACCATTGAACAAGTAGAGCTTCCAACTATCATGAACCCACCTGCAGGCAGTCACTAATTGTTGGTACTTGCGTAACTTTTTGCCTATTGTCTAAGAGACCAAACTGCTAATGCTGCTAATGCTGCAAATGCTGCTAATGCTGCTAATGCTGCTAATGCTGCATCGACATAAAGGCACTTACGCAAAAGTCTAATTCTTGTTTATACCATTGTGAGGAAAAAAAGAGGCACAAATAAGCTGTATTGATGTTTTAATTTTTCCTTAAAATGATTAAACATTTATTTAACGACCGATTCAGAAGGATTTTAAATGTAAAATTGCAGGTTATGACTCCTTTAGCTGTAGTTTATAAAGAGTCAGTCTGCAGGTGTTTCATGTTTATGTTCCAGGTTTTACCTCCAAAAGGCCGACCCTGTAGAGAGAAACCTGCATCTGGATCTGCCTGCAATCAGTACTCAGGGCTTTAATTAACAATGCTGTAAATGCTGCTGCCTGTAGCTTCTAGAGCTACAAACGTCTAAATGAGAATCTGCCGTCAAGAACAGCTTCAGTCCGAGTGTGACCGGCTCCAAACAACACGCTGTTTCATCACTTTCTTACTTCGGCATCCTCACTCAGCAGGTCGCTAACAGCGATGCACACATACTGGTTACCTTGGCAACTGCAGCCTGATAGACTGTGCCATAAATTTGTTATATTTATGGTCTGCTATGGCAACTCTTAGTCTGCTATTAGTGATATTTGCATTTTATTCTGGTACGAGTCGATACGTGCATGCCTTGATGATCATGTTTTGCCATTTCTTCCATCTACTGTCTCTTTTTTTATGCTTTGTTTGATTTGTTAATTGATTTTATTTAAGTTGTTTAAAATTTTGTAATTTTAATCAAGTAAATGATGGAAGGAAAAGCAATAAGAATCGTCCTCAAAATATCAACAGCACGTATCGGATCGGTTAGACTGATGTATCGGTCGATCTCTAATACTGCATCACTACACAGCCATGTTTGCCAAGATGAATTTGGTGTGTTAAATAACAGTATTTAAAAATGGTCATGGTAGTTTTGTCGTGTATAGAAAGTATCGTCTGCAATTAAGCTTTACGTCTCATTTCCGTCTGTGTATCACAGAACAGCAGGAAGCAGAGAAAAAGAAATTAATCTGGTTAAAAAATGTTAATTTCCCATTCTATATTTTTTTTCTTTGATCTCATTGTATGCTTTTATGGTTTTTGATGCAATTAAGCTATTTGTATGCAATTAGATTTTTACTTTGAACTTTGTCCAAGCAGCCATTTAGATTAAAAGAGGCTTAGCCAATACTGTGGCTATAAAGATAAACGGGAAATAGCATATGTTCAACTTTGAATACTGTCAGGAATATATAGCATATGTCAAGCCTTCCTGATAGTGTTTGCTTTATCCTTTTTTGAGCCTGAAAACAATTTTTGCACCACATTTCATCAGCAGACACAAATATTGTTGTGCATCATCTTCCAGTAGCTTTGATTAACAAATGAAAACAAACCAAACTTGAAGGCAAATATCCAGATGCATTACATACTGTAAAAACTCAGTATCAGCCTAAGAATAGCATTGCTATCACTAGCATCAGTATTAAGCCGTGTGCGCACGCATACATCAACTTGGCAGCTTTACCTCATGCTTCAATAAACTTTGGCAATGCTGTATTCAGAGCTCTTTGCATGTCTCATCTCTATTAGGGTGGAACTTTTAATCCACATGAATCAGATGCTTAATGTTCCAATAAAATGGCATCTTAATGGCGAGCAGGACATCAGTTATTGTTAGTTTTATTTTAACAATCAGAAGAATGCTGTTTTGTTTTAAAAGCCTGATGCCTTTTAGAGCGTAGGAATTAATTCTTCAACTCAGTTTTTATTTTTGAGTTGATATCAAAGTAAAATGATGTCTTTTATTGATCCCAAACCTTTGAATTTGGTGGCAATGCCATGGTGACAGACTTTTTGATAAGCCGACATTGTATTGTCATCCAAACAAATCAATGTAACGTTGGATTGTGATAAAACTGTATAAAGTTTATTTTTGGGGGCTTTTTCACACTTAATGTTGAGTTTTTCTTTTCTTTTTGCACCCATGCTCATCCTATTGTTTCTCTTATGTACATAATATATGTAGCTTCTACTAAGGCGCCGTGTTTACTTGCTTCACGCATTCGTACCTCCAGTCACATGGTCTTGTAATAGTACATATATTTGAAGTGCTCTGTGTGCTAAAAGATAAGTTAATAAAAACTGAAGCCATATGTGTGCAGCCAGATTGAGCTACTGGTGTAAAAATGCATAAAGTCACGGTACGTGACTGGGCCCCTTTAAACTCCGTTTGCTAGTTGTCTTAAGATGTTTATAATAATAATTTAACTTTATTGATCTCCCATTGGAGACATTTACCTCTGCATTTAACCCATCCCTTCGGGGAGCAGTGGGCTGCCATAAGGGAATATTTAACACTGTTAAACAGCATTTCCTCTCTCAATCTAACCTTATGTTGCTGCTGATAAGACCGATGAAAGATTTTAAAGTTTTGCCGTTTTAAATGATTTATAAAATGAGGTTTAAGACTTTGTGTTTGAAATGGTAAAAAAGAGAAATGAAATAATAGATTGAAATCAATCAGACAGCCCAGAAATAGACTAGAAATCAGATAGATCCTAATATATTCTATACACCAGACTATTAAAACAGCATCGCATGTAAACGCTTTAACTAAATGGAGCAGAACCTTCCATGAACATTATAGAGGCCAACTTTATGACTTCTCCTCATCTTGGAATCACACTAAGTTTGTTAAACCTGCTGAATCATATTTACCTGATCATGTTTAACCGTTATTTTCTTATTCATCCATGCATTCCCCCGCATCTGGTTCTTTCATGTAGAAAATACTCTAATCTCACCAGCAGGTTGTGATGGAGAGCCTTTTTTTAAATAGAAAAAATAGAAGAAATTTACATTATTATTTAAAGGGAGAACAGCTTTGATGAAGAAAGGTGATCTAACTATGGAGTCTTGCTCTGTTTCCCTGACCTGAATGTTTCATTTGTGTTTAAAGTTTTAAACATGGAGTCGTGCAGCTGTGCTTTCAGGATGTGAGCAGATTCCTCTGCCTGTTTCTAACTGATCTTTCCTCACTTGATGTTTAAAAACAAAAATGTACTCCTGTTTTTGTGTGCTGATTGGTCAGTTGTCATTGGAGTTGTAAATCAGAGTGAGGTGTATTCAGAATTTGAAAAATGCAGAGCTTCAGTAGCTGCAGCGCTAAAACTCATCAGCTGTGTCATAGTGAGTCTGAACGCTGTTTTTAAACTGAATAATTTATGATGAACGCAAACTGCTGCTCATCCTTGTCGAAGCTTCTGATTTCACATGCTTCATCTAGTTAAACATGTGCTACATCTCTTTGGGATGTATTTGTGTCTGCATTTGTTGATGAACATGACGTTAGAGGTGAGACATGAGGGAAATTTGATATTTTTTTCAGCCCACTTTGTATTTACAAGCTGTGCTCTGTAAAGAACTGAACTGTGACAGACTTTCCATTTTCATTTGAAGTACATCTCTGAGCTTTAATTTGAAAGCTCAAGTTGCACATGGTTCTATTGTTTTATTTTTAATAAAGATTTGAATGGGAAAATACATGCTGAAAACCTCATTTCATTCTCAATTTTCTGAAAGATAGAATTAAGGGTGCTTTAAGACAGTGACACCGGGCCCTCTGACCACCATCAGCAGGCAATGCAGGTAAAGTGTCTTGCTCAAGTACAAAACAACACTGAAAGCTGGAGTTTCAACAGATCACCCTTCAGTTGCAGGCAGTTGCGGTTTCTGATATCAGCAACCTGGGCAGCTGCCCAAGGTTGCTTTGCCATGTAGGGCGGAATTGGCATGAGATCCCCCCCTACCAGGTGCACGCCCTTATGCCGATCAGACCAACTCATTAAAATAGAAGAAGAAAAAAGTGTTCTCCTTAGCTTTTAACCAAGAATGAATTTATTTGTGTCCAAGGAACAATCCATTAACTTTTGATGATGATCCACATCATAATCTGGATGCAGATTTTTTTTTTTAAGGATTCTTTAACATTACTTGGTGAAACAACCAGTTCCCACCTAAACCAGAGGGTGGCAGCAGTGACTTTTGACAGCTTCAGCATCAGACTTAAATAAGTCCAGAAGTATTATGCTGAGACAAAAACACAGGAAAGGTGAGTCTGGATCTGCTGATCAAAGAAGAAAACAGAGTGAATGAAGAAGGTGAGAGCAGAACAAACACCAGAGGCTGACAGATGCACGCTGGGCCTTATTTATAAACTTATGAAAGGATTTTAAGGAAATTATTACCAGGTTCATTAAAAATGGTGATGGTCTAGATCATCTGCGAGTTTTATCTATAGGTGTAGGTCACAATATGGCAGAAAATGCTTTTCTAGTATTGTATTGATTTGATGAATATCATATATGATGGTATTCAAAATGAATCAGATCTTTTATGAGTTTGATTATTGTCTATAATCCTGATATGAATATATCTAAAATTATAAATTTCAGAATTTATGAAGCTCTACAAGCTGTGCACAAAAGTTTTTAGCTTTGAAATGAGTTCCTTATTGAACTCATGTCATACCAATTTAGACTAAAGTAGTTAAATTCAATTCAGTTTATTTCTATAGCGCCAATTCACAACACATCATCTCAAGGCACTTTACAGTTCAACCAGACCGTCCAGTCAAATTGATTCAAAGTTTTCTATCTAAGGGAAACCAGTTGATTGACTCAAATGCAATCCCTCACACTAAGCATGCTTGTAGCGACAGTGGAGAGGAAAACTCCCTTTTAACAGGAAGAAACCTCCAGCAGAACCAGGCTCAGTGTGAGCGGCCATCTGCTGAGGCCCACTGGGGTTCAAGGAGACAGAAGCAGAGACACAAAAAGCAGCTGTAAAAGGCGGCCCCGTCCAGGAAACACACAGCCAGGCAGACGAGCTCTGAGCCAGCTCCCATGTCAGAGGATGAAGAGAGCACATCCAGCCAGTCACAGTCAGAGAAACAGGACCACACTGGAAAACAAGTCGAGCTCCAACATCTATAAACAAGGGTGTTGATGGAAGCAGCACAGCTAATAGTCATCTAGTTGTACAAATTCTAAACAATGTTGCTTTAGTATTAATAAGTATTTGTTAGACATTTAAAGCAGGTAAAGAAAGACTAAATTAAAATCTAAAGCTTCAGCTTTTTACTCCCTGCCAAATTTTCTGTTTCAGATCATTATTCTTTGATTAGTTTTTTTAAAACATGATTTTTTTTTTAAATCTTTATGCTCTTTTATTCCTTTTTTTTGTTATGTCTTACTTGCTGTAAAGCATTTTAGTCAACCTAGCTATAATTGTAAAATGAATATGCAAATAAATGATTTATTAATGTTTTGTAAAAAGATTTATCAGGGTGGCTTAGATCTGATGTTGCCCACACATCTGAACTGGTCCCAGCATTATATTACCGTTCATGATGTAAAGGCTCTTTAAGATTGAAGACTTCCAAAATAGTTTCTATGACAACCAAGATGAATAATGGTTACACGAAAGAGACAAAAAACACACCTGTTTGTGTTTTATTGGAGCTCTTTATTTCTTTCTGGATGGTCATGTTTACACACCGTCTATGAGGCGGAGCCTCCTGATCACGCTGTGACATCATCGCAATGCAATGCAAGTGTGCTCTGCTCCCCAGCAACATTCAAGCTTTATTCTGAAAGAAGATCAGAACCAACATGGAGGAAGAGGGGGGGAGGAAGGGGTAGGCCATGATTGGTGTGAGGGTCTGTGCTACAGGGGGAGGACATAGCTGCAGATTCACAGTTTGAAGGTGAAAATAAGGGGGTTGATTCATTAATATGACCAAATAAGTCCAGCATTAAAGACAACATCACTTCCCTTGTAACTGCTGATCCAGCCAGGAGCGTTCAGCATCTTTCTACCTCTTTATCACAGGAAGTCCTGTGGCTGGGTGGTGGAGGGCTGACCTGGGGTCTGGTAGCTGGTGCTCAGTGAGGTTAAAACAAAGGCGGTGCTGAAGCCCGAAACGGAGGGGAGGCTGCAGAGCACATAGACCCGGAGACAGGTGGGGTTCTTTAGAAGCACTTGCGGTGGACGATGGAGGGTCCTGCCTCGTCATACTCCTGCTTACTGATCCACATCTGTTGGAAGGTGGAGAGTGAGGCCAGGATGGAGCCACCGATCCACACCGAGTACTTCCTCTCTGGAGGAGCGATGATCTGAGAGGGGGGAGGGGGTGAGGGTTAGATGTTAAATCATTGAAACGACAAGTTTGGATCACCTGAAGTTATATCTTAAAAGTTTGTTTCTGTTACTAGAACAAAAAAAACATTTTATTTACATGTACAGAACTCAATGAGGACAAGACGGACGTAATGATCTTTGGCAGATCCACTGCTGATTCCGTGACCAGTCTTGGCTCCTTGGCTCAGTACGTTAAGCCGGTTATTACTAATTTAGGGGTTAAGATGGATGCTGGTCTTAAAATGGAAGCGCACATCAGAGCCGTTATAAAGTCCAGCTTTTTCCACTTAAGGCAGCTAGCAAAAGTAAAACCCATTCTTTCCAGACAGCATTTCGAAACAGTGATCCATGCATTTGTGACCACATGGCTGGATTACTGTAACTCACTTTATACAGGGGTCGGTGACTTGTATATTTCTCATCTTCAGAGGGTTCAAAATGCTGCTGCACGTCTTTTAACAGGTACACGAAAATTCAACCACATTTCCCCTGTTTTAGCTTCCTTACACTGGCTGCCAGTACATTTTAGGATTCATTTTAAAATTCTTTTATTTGTTTTTAAAACTCTTAATGGCCTTGCCCCTCCTTATCTGTCTAAGCTGCTACATTCTTATACACCCTCCCGTTCCCTCAGGTCAGCTGATCAGTTGCTTCTGAGGGTCCCAAAGACAAAATGCAAGCTCAGAGGAGACCGTGCTTTTTCTGTGGCAGCTCCTAAGCTGTGGAATGATCTGCCTCTGAGCATAAGACAGGCCTCTTCTCTTGCTGTTTTTAAGTCCCTTCTTAAGACTCATCTTTTTTCCTTGGCTTTTGGCACAATTTGAGAGGTTTTACTTT